CAGAAGATGATCCATGCCAGCAAGGCTCTGCACAAACTCAACAATGAAGGGAATAGCTATCTACATTTCGCAGCTGAGACAGGCGCTGCCGACATAGTGGAACTGCTTTTATCTCTTATGAGAGGGGAGCCGCGATCCGTTCTTGACGACACGGTGGGAGCATCAGCAGATGGAGCCACAGCACTAGGGTTGTCGCGGGGATCATTCGACGTCAACGCTGGCAACTCGGAGGCGATGACAGCGCTACACTGGGCCGCACGCGGGGAGAACTTCCGATGCATACGGCTGCTGGTAGAAGCCGGGGCGAACCCATGGCTTCTGGATGACGCAGGCAATCCGCCCGCGCATTATGCGGTCTGTAGCAAGAACGAGGCGGCGCTGGATTACTTTGCTCACCTCGGAGCGGCGGATCATGAACGATGTGATGTTTGCATGGGGAACACCACTCGGTGGAAGCAGAAGAAGCAGATTCGGTGCGGTGTGGTCGATTGGGGCGCAGACTCCTTGGATATCTCGTACTTGTTTGAGGTCGACACAGCGGCGTGATAGATGGATTCTGGGGATTGTTCATCTGGCTGCCCCTTCTTTGTGAATCCCTTTGTTGATGGTGCGGTATATGCAATAGCGATTCATCACTGACTCATACTTACTCAAGACCGCCATAGAATCCTATATATTTTTCATTGTGGTACATAATTTGACTTGTCTACTACCGCGACCACGCGCGTAACCACTAGTCCATATTCTCTGATATGGTCAGTCACATACATCTGCATCTAATGTGCGAAGACAGCCTCGTCCTCTTCATTTATCAATTCACCTCCAGCGGGAGTGGTTTGGCGAACAGCGCGTCGCAACATTATACTGAGCAGACAACATGAAGCACGATGGGCATGCAGCGATGGTTGCATGTAACCAGGGCCCGAACAAAAACACCGACTATAAGAACCCTGCCCTTGCCAAACCAGTCATGTACAGTTCATGCACTTCCGCACCCCCGAGAGAACCACCCACACCCCCTCCGAGACCAAAGCCACCCTACCAGCTAGCTACTCAGTCCATGCCCTAGGCCAAGACACATCTAAAACCAGCATCCTGGTTATCAAGGGGGGATGAAAGACAGTCGGCGAACGAGGCCACGGCGGTCTCTGGGCTGGCGAGAGGAAGGAAATCTAAACCGCATACGAAAGAGTGTCTGGGTTCGATGTGCAGCAGGCCAAACAGGCACTTGGTAGTGTATCTCTGTCCGTCGTATCTAGGACCAGTTCCACAGCTCTTTGTGTCGGTAGTAATCACTCATATCATAAGCTATTGTACCTGAGAATCAGTGATCCAATCACATACCCCAACCAACCAAGAAATGAGTTGCGCTGTGGTTATACATCGATCTCGAACTGTCATGACAACAGTATACTAGACAACATGCCCGCTAAGTAAAACCACAACATGCAATTCATGTATATACAGTAGTACCAATCTCTTCCAAGTCACCACTCACCCACTCTCCTTGGAAAGAACACAGAAACCGAGTCAACCTCAATAAACAAAACCCAGTCCCTCACCACCAAATCCCTCCCACCCAAGCGAACCCCCTATACCTGAGGTATCTGCAGTCCAGCACCAATCAACCCTCCCCAACAAAATCCCAGCCCAAATCCACAACTCCCCCTCCCCTCGAACCAAAATCCACCGCCCTGGAACCAACCCCTAAATCCGACCGCTAACACGGCGTACCCCCAGGTTCCAAGAATCCACCTACCTTATCACGGCACCACTGAATACAAAGTACACCCCATAACTAATATTAAATAAAACCTCCGCTGACCTACCACCCACATGCACCCAGATACCGAAAACACCCATCTCTCCTTTCTTTTTAGAGGACCCAGATCGACACACGGATCCCTGTTCCTGACTCCAAGAATGTTGGATGACGGAACGCCCACGCGGGGACCACTCATCCAGTGCAGTGCAGGGGCTTATGGAGTGCGAGCCTGGCCTATCCGGAGGCAGGCAGGCAAGGGAGGGAGGGATGGATGCGTGGGGGTATGGCACAGCACAGGCGCAGGTACAGGTAGCGCCGGCAATGGCTTGCTCGGGACTTGGTCCAGGGAAGGGGGGAATGGAATGCGAGGATCGATTGCTTCCTTGGCTACTAGGTACTCTGCACTATGCAGGTAGATGGGGAATGGAAGGACCCAGTAGGCGAGATGAGGGACTACGAACGTACTCACTGGCTGTACTTTACAATCCCGTTGAGGCTGCGCGGTTGGCTGGGTTGGGCATTCTTGGGCTGACGACGGGTCGGTCCTTTGGAATGCGATGTGAGATTACGACGTAGGAGGGTAGGTGTGTTGGATTTCCGGACGGTTAGTATAGTTGCTACTTGGGACTATATGGGTTTAGGAAGCTATCGCTTTAATTGCGTTACATGCATATGCATGCTTCCGGGCTGGATGTTCTTGGGGATACTACCTAGGTTGTAGGAGGTCGGAATTGATGCGGTTTGAGTACTTGTGCATTTCATGGGCGACAGTTTCAGACTATGGGTCATATTGTCACGGATCTAAATGGTATCTTATCTAATTAAGTCAAAGTGTGTATCGTCAAATATCAACCCGCAGTTTCGAAATATGGTGGGTGTTCGAGCTCGCGAAACATCATCACCTGCGATGATAAGCCCTATTCGACGATAGTGAGAGGGGTGACTGGCCCCTCCTTGTGTATACTTTACCGTGGAGAGAGCAGCGACGTTCTGTTCATTCTGAGTCGATGGACTGAATGCTTGCCTCGCTCGACTACCATGGAAGTATACTGTACAGTACATGCATATAAGCAGACGGTCCCAAGTATATGCATCTCCGCGCTGAATACATGCTAGCACCAGGGTAAATACAAGCAAGGAACCGACTGGAGGGTTACGCTTACCTGCAGCACTTACATGCATGTTTAAGTCGATGTAGTACCTGGCATCACCCCCCTGCCCAAGCTGCAGGTGGGAAACCTGGGGCTTACTGCGGAGGATTTCATGCAGGTATATTGATAACTACAGCTTAGGGTTTCAGACCCTATCTTGAAAATTGTTGCAGGGGTATTGTACGACAAAAGGGAAAGAAGGGATAGGTGCTGTGCATTGATTGATACGGTGGGTACGTGCCCTTGCGGAGTTTTTCTTTCGGGCGAAAGAGGGATAGTCCATTCCTCGATATCGGTTGGCTTGCACTGAAGTGAGCCAACACAGGGAATAGACTTGCGGGTGGCGCTGGCGATTATCTTGATCGATCTACCGATCTGTATCTCCTCTTCCACCCCTCTCTCCCCACGACATGGGGTGCAGCGAAGATCTTGGACCAATAGTCGAAAACCATGGAAAGTGGACCAAAGGGGAGGGGAAGAGGGGCAGTGAGAGATAGATAGACTTGCATATAGATTGTTTTAGCTTGATTATTGCGAGGAGCAGCAAGTTGGGGGGTCCCACGAGGGTTGCAAGAAAGGGGGGGCAGGGGGAGGGATCCCTGCAGACCCAATAGTGGCAATGCTATTGAACGTTGAAGCTTCTTCGATAACTCCCTATCAGATTGAGTTCAATTGATTGTTCGGTAGTAGGAACCTTGATTAACTTGCATCACCGGGAGCAAGAAATCAGACATGAGGGAGATCTGTGCATGCCCACACTCGTGGTGCCAACATCCAGAAGCGTTTTACCAGTAGATCTCTAAACAAGGGATAGAAGGGATGGAGAGGTGCATACCTGCATAATCGTCTCTTGTTCACATAAGCTTTCCTTAGTCTTCCGCTGTGCATGGAAGGGGGTTTCCTCTTTAGGGTAAGCGACACCTTTGGAGCCTGTCTAAGTAGAAGAAGTGAGGGTGTATGTAGCGTGATGGAGCCTTGCCCCCAGCATCTGGCGGCTTTTCTGGCCCTACGGTAAAACCGGCACTGGGTGTGACCCATATGGACATTTTAGCCCGGGCACTAGAAGAGGAATCGGGCTCCGGTGGCAAACTCTAAGCCGTTAAAAAAAGGTGGGCATGGTGGGAAGAGGTCTTGGGGCACGCGTGTGGTCCACGGCCGAGAAGTGGCCCGGAGAAATGAAGCAGACAAGTCTGGACTCGGTAGAGACGCGACTACAGTAACTACGTCACCGTTGTTGATCGACTGATTAAAGAGAACGGTATTGTTGTTTTGTTCTGTTTTGTTCTGTCTTGAATTGTTTTGCAGATCAATCGCTCCAATCGCTCCCACGATCGTATCGGAGATGGAATCGCAAGATTGGATACTTTCAAGGTAGGTACGCTATATCGTCATCTGGGAGTGGAAGCGAGAGATTAAGCTTCATGGGAGAAGGTGGGGAATAGACGCGTCGGGGTCGTTATTACCATACGCCGTATTATGTCATGGGAACGGCAAGGAAAAGATAACAAGGAAGGCAAGCAAGGTGAGGACGACGGAGATGAGGGAGAGATAGGGAGAGAGGAAGAGAGGGAGAGAGAGGGAGAGAGGGATAACTGGACTGCCTGGAGGGGGACAAGCAGAGGAAAGAAGGGAGGCTGGGGAAATGTGATGTCATACCAAGCATCCCTCGCGAATAGTGGGAACCTCAGGCAACCGTCACGGGATGGCGTTCGCCGGTCGCGTCACTCACTGTCACTCACTCACTGACTTCCAAGTGTCAGTCAGTTGTCGGGGTACTTCCAGGGTACCATGGCTCACCGTACCCCTTCGATGTTTATGTTTACATCCCAAGCACGTGAAACGCGGAACCAGAAGGATAAACAATGGGGCAGCTATACATACGGATCGTAGACCGACTGACTTCCTGAGGCCAGCCAACACATACATACATCGTACATCAGCATTGGCGGGGAAGAAGCAATCGGCCACTCCTGCAGGTGAGGGACAGAACTGACTTTCTCCCCCTCACTGACATCACGACTGGCGAAACCGGTTGGGAGCACACCAGTCCGTCACTGCAAGTCCATCGACGACATCATTCACTTACTCACTCACTCACTCGCGACGCGCCGTAGCTAAATAAAGTTGCAGACAGTCACGCTGGAGCACGAGCACTAGGGCTGCACTGCTGGTCCAATCAGTGAGCAGATCGGTCTCCATCTAGAACAGAATCCCCCCGCACCAGCGCTTCCTTCATACAATCCAAATTCCTGCTGACCCGCCAAGGCTGCTCACTGGCTGGCTGGCTGGCTGAATGAGCTAGTAGTTTTACGTTCTGTGGTGCTTTTTGAGTGCGCCCGATGCTGGTGCTCGGTCCTCCAGGGTGTCTGGGCGGCCTGCCCGACAGATAACTGCCTGCTAACCCGGCTAACCCTGCTAACAACGCGCACATGGCCATGACACTGCGGCACAGCGTCTCGAGTCAGCCATCCTTGTCAGCGACCCCACCAACTCATCCGAGGTATGAGCACTAGTTTGCCAGGACGGCTCACCGTCGCGCGAATTTCCGCCCATAGCAATGTCCAACGCGGCTGGTCGGCGAATCGACGACTCAGCCGCACGGCGCCGAGCTGACCTTTCGACAAGAGCTCGGAAGCTTACGGATTGACGGGCTGGCGTATCCGCCGACACCTACCACTCGCACCGCAGTGATGCGACGCGAGGCATAAGATAATAGTCATTATTGGGGGCTAGCGCTCCTGCTGGCGGATAAGGCCGACCCTTGAGCCGCAAGTCCGGTTAGGCCTCCTAGCACCGAGATTGTGATTAGAACATGGCTCAATTCTGGACCCTCATGAGCTCCAACGCTAACCCCTCCGATGCGAGAAGGGATTTGCACGGGGGCCGACCGGTGTCTCAGAGATGAGGGGCTTGGGCGTGGGAAAGGATCTGAAGGCCACAGGAGGGGGGCCACCAGGTGTGATCGCTGTGCATACGAGCTTACCGATCTCACCATTTGTGGCGGTGTAAATAGTAACAATTCGAGGCTAAAAATCAAATCGCAATCCTGAGAGGGGTTGATTGGGCAATTGCGGATTTCGGCGCCCACGGGGGGTGAGAGAGGGGCAGCTGTTAGCCTCTGTGCCCTCATCGTGACGATCTGATGCACGATTTATTGACTCCGGGAGAAGTAGACCCAGAAGAGCGGAGACCATGGGACAGAAGGTCTCTCACTCTGCCGAAATAACCGTGAAGATGGCGGGTTTCCAGACTCTCATGGTTGTGACCCGTCCGGCGGAGGAAGAAATAGACTTGTCGGTGACGTCGTCAGAACCTCGGGTACAATGGGCAAGCTTGCGGCATCAGCTTGGGGGAAATTGGCTAACCCCACACCAGGCAAGCGTGCTAGAGCTGGGCTGTCAGACCAGCTCAAGTTCGTTCAGCTGAGATGGGGCCTGACCCGGCTCGGGGATTCTTGCCCATTATCTGCGATAATGATAAGATTTGTAAGATCAACTGGAGAAATCGAGCCGACGATAGATTAAACCACTGATTCTGGGAATCCGAGAGCAGCGCATGCTCGCAGCCGAAGGGAAAAGACCACCCTTGGCCTTGATCGGCGGGAATGTCGAGAGTCGAGACAAATAAGTTAAGGGTTTGGGCGCGTGTCTGGTGAACGGTCCGCCATGCGAACAGTGCGCGGGCGAGCACGGTATTTCTAGACAACTTTTCGTCCGACCACTGGGCACTCAGCCATCGTCATCGCTTGGAAAAATTTTGTTAGCCCAGTAGCTTGATCAAAGCGTCGAACGACTGTGCACCAGGAACCGGGCAAAGGTACCGTAGATGGTTGAGTGGTAGGGTAGATCAAGCGGTTCGCCTAATACATACCTAGTAGACAGTACTGTAATGTACCTACCTCGCTTGAAGGGCGGCTTCCCATTGTCGAGTGACCGAGATAACGGGGAAAATCGGCGGATGGTAATGAGCCTGGAAGATAGACAAGGTAGACAGGAATTTTGCCAAAGTAAATCTACAATGCCGATCGGTACAAGGTTGCTGTCTCACTCAAGGAGAGAAATGATGGTAGAAGCTACCAGCTAACTTACCAGCTATTCTTCAGGTTCAGCCATCGAAGAATTAAGCGCCTGGTATGTTCGGCCGATGTTCTTCCTGAGGCAGGAACTTCCGAATGGGGAATAGAACCCGTTCCTCTGGCTTCCCTACCGGACGACAGTAATGAGCTAACGACGAGTAGCAAATTAGCAACGTAGTTGTCCGGCTAAGTAGGTATGCAGGATCGACAGCAATCTGGAGAAGAAGAGGATTCCCCAAGGCTTCATTCGCCCTTTGCCCTGTTCCACCGGCAGGAATGAATGGAATTGTTCGAAACTTGAATTGTAGAGCCAAGAAGAGGGAAAGGGAGAAGAAGAGACAGAGAGAGAGTCAAGAAAAAAAAGAAAAACGGTCGACACCTTACGTATGAATGACAGCGTTCTCGGTTTTCCACAGCTTCCAATCGAAGGCACTCGTTCCTGAGAAGATACCGGCCGGACAAGCTCTTTTTTCCGACCGAGTGGACCCCGGTGGAGAATTTTATTAGATTCGATCTTCTCTTTTGGGGTTCATGAGAATGATGTATATAGGAATTAAAAAAAAATCCATAAAAAACTCGAACGGCACACACGGGAACAAAATTTATTGATCCAATGCAAAAATTATCCTCAGGCCACATGTCGTCTTACTGGTGGGTTCGTCAACGAGAAAGCCCTCTGCCCCCTCATCTAAATCGAGGTTCGAGACTAGTTAAGGGATTAGGACTCCGTAGACTAACTGTATCGTCGAGGTATCTGGGTCCTGAAAAACCTTAGTAGTGGATAGAGATAGATGTAGAGCCTCCTTCAAAGTGATAGACAGACATGGCCTATGCCAGGAGAATGAAGCGAGCAAGCGACACCGAGTCGAGCTAAAAGTAGAATAGAACCCTCCTCCATACCAGTGCGACGACAGGATGACCGATGATCCCCGAAAGAGGCAGCTGGTCACTGGTCCGGTCGGATTGAAGACCGCAGGTTCTAGGTTCTAGTGCAGTGCTGTGCTGATAGCGCTGCTGGTGCTGCTGGTGCTGCTGGTACTACTGGGCAAATGTCAAACATGGACAACGGTTTCTACAGCAATTGTAGTGCGACTGTTACACAGATGAAACCTGTCAGAAAAAAAATTGAGAATACCACCGGGGCGACCCAGTGTGGTGTTAGTAATAGAAAGCAAAGAAGGCGGAAAGAAAAAGGAAAGAAAAGTCCACCAAAGTCCACAAGAGGGGACAGATGGAGACACCTCGATTCTGTGTGGTCTTTGGAGGTGTGGTCTCCGACATGGGCCCTCTTGTCCTCTTCCTCTCTGGACGACTGTTCGGTGATGAGACAGGCACGATCCATGCATCGGCCAGCGAAAAAGGGAGTGTAAGGACGCTGATAGGCGGGGGGTTGCTGAGCAGCGGCTAGCGTTTATAATGGCGGCAAGGGAGTCCCGGCAACGAGGATGAGTATGAATAAGTACTACTCAAGTACTGTACGGGTACCTACCGAACTCTCTTACTTACTATACATACATCTGTACTGTACGAGTACATAACCTAATTCCCCAGCAACTGTACGTACCGGTAGGCAAAATTCAGATCCAGATGGAGAAATTTTCTGCTCATCAAAAAATTCGAAAGGGGAAGAGAAAAAGAAAATGTCAAATGCAAAAATTCAAATATTGCAGAAATGATTATTGGATGGATCTTCTTTTTTGCCCCGAACTGGTACCTACAGGTGTCAGGTCAGTAGTATGAAGTCAATTGCTATAAGTTAAGGGCACAGGGAATTACCCCCCCACAGCAGGGCAACCTGGAAGGACTAGAAAACTAGTTTCATGAAAGAAGGGGAAGAATCGAAAGGATGGAAGCATAGTAGATTGGAAGAAAGGGAAGAAAGGGAAGAAAGGGAACTACTCGTTGTCGAACCAAGGCCTGGGGCCTTATGCGGTCATTCATTCATTCATTCATTCATTCATTCACTATTCAATCATGGATTGGTCTTCGACCACCCCCAAACCGGTTCGACCATTTAGCCTTAGTGACCTAGGTCAGTTACTAGGTCAGTTACCTAGATTAGTGACTAGTACTAAACCTACCTTACTATGTAACTGCTATACTAGGTACCAGTACTACCAGTTACTTACTGTAACTACTCCTCCGTAGTCGTTTCTGACACAACCAAAAGCCCCAAACCAAAACCCAGCCCAGCCCAGCCCAGGAAGCACTAAACCCATCGTCGCTTAAGCTCTCTCTCGAGTATCTGGAGATCCCTCCCCACTTTTGCGTTGCCATTGCAACAAGGGCATCCCTTCAGCTTCACTTTCTCCATTGTCTTTTTTCTTCTTCTCTTCTTCTTCTCCTTCTCTTCCTTCTCTACCCCAGACAGCTCTCTTCCTTCTTCATAAGAGCCTCTGCCCTTCCGTTGCATTGCATTCTCATGCTTCAGGTCCGATCCCGTCTTCAGCCCTCGTCCCTTCGGTAACCTTTCCCTCCCAGTGCATTAGCGTACCATATCTATGCTGCCAATCCCCCCCCCTCTTCATTCACCACCCACCTCCTCCCTGGTACTGGCTGAGATCTCTCGACTATTGCTGACTTGATCCTGTCGTATCTTTAGCCCTTCCTCCCGTCCGGCCTACTTCCTGTTTCAACCTATATCCTATCCGAAAGCACCTTGATCTAGTTCCCGTCAGCCAGCCATGTCGCTTTAAACGCTTGTCCCCCGTCTGCGAGAGAAGTCTGGGTACAGGCTGGTTAGCTGAAACAACATACAAAAGCCGGCACCACGATTTCCGAGGTTGGATCTCCCACTTTGACAGTTGGGAAACGAAGGGGAAAAAAGAGGAGCTCCGTGGTGGTCAATCTAGATCGGCTCCCATTGTCCCCGCATCTGCCGTGCATTGCATACAAGGGGGAGAGACACTCGCCGCGCTGTGACGACTAGTGATCGACTTGGACCCAATCCGTGCGTGTGAATGATCGGCAAGGAAGAACTACAAGGAACCTGGGCCGGCTACAATGGAACACTCGTCCCCGTTGGCTGCAATGCAGCCGCCGTCTGTGATGTTCGGCCATTGCTTTCGTCCCGATGCCTCGACAGCCTATGCGTCCTTCAGTCCCATGGCTGGATTGGCACATAGCACCTTCAATTTTAAGGAACTGTCCATGAAGAAGGCCCATGGGGACTACTTCAATGTGAAACCTGTGCGGGGCTCATCACCAACTGCGAGTCTTGCGGCCGACCTCTCTCAGAATTTTCATATTGATCAAAGGTTTGTCGCATGTCGTTGGCCTTTGTTAGGCCATGTGTGTGTGTTCATGGACAAAGGGTTCGCTGACCAAAAATAGTCCGCAATTGGCCACGCCCCGGCGGTCTTTGTTCTCCTCCAGCCTGCTGGGAAAAGCCAATCGGTGTGGTAAGTGATACTCACTCCATGTGTTTAAAATGTGCTATCAGCTCACAATTCTTTTTTTCTCGATTCGATAGAGTCAATGACCACACCACCGCTTCCCTCCTCGCCAGCTCCCATGATGGACGCTATGGAAATGTCTCCCTTGCCGCACAAGCCAGCATTCGGGCTGGTCAACGAAGTCGAGCTGGAATCGCCCTCTCTAGATTCTTCGATGGATACACCTATGATCTCGGCCGCCCCGAGCCCGTTGGAAGAGTCACCGCTGGTGAACTCGAAAGACGGTCTACAAGAGTAAGAGAGGCAGCCCAAGACTGGAGTCATTGTAGGCCTGCGTGGATCTAATCACATGGTTATCTGTAGGAGAAAGCGTCCAACATTTCTACGACCGAGTTTAGCACGGAGCAAAGCACAGAGTTTCCAACTAGGAATGAACAAGCCGGCCCCAGAGAGTCAAGCCCCGCCGTTCAAGTTTCAGAGCCGGGGAAACAGGACGTCGCTCAGCGCATCTGCATCGTTGGAGGATCTGTTTTGCGAGTCACCCCAAAGAGAACGTCCGTCGTTGAAGAACCACTCGACCGGCAATCTGTTGAGCAGCTCTCGTCTCAAACCACCATTTGGCAGTAGCAACAGCCACGTGCGGGGAAATGGATCCCCGTCCGCGGCGTCAGTCCGCAAGAATTCACACCCCACGATGCGCCCACGCAAGCAGTGTAGACGTTCGTTGAGCATGTTTGAGCATCCCGAGGATGTAGTCGTCGAAAAAGAGGCAACTTTAGTTACAAATGCACCACTCCCGTCGATCATCGACATTGAAGGATCCCCCAGCCTGCAGCTTCCTCACGTCTTTTCGGAGGACCAGGCAGATACATTGCCTCGTATCGACAAAAACATCCTGGTGGAGCTCCTGGATGGGAAATACAACGATCGTTTTGACAACGTGATGATCATCGACTGCCGCTTTGAATATGAGTACGAGGGAGGCCATATCAATGGCGCTGTCAACTACAACGACAAGGACCACCTGGCCGCCGAGCTCTTCACCGCACCCAAGCCGCGGACGGCCTTGATCCTCCACTGCGAATACTCGGCCCATCGCGCCCCGATTATGGCCAAGTACATTCGTCACCAGGATCGCGCTTTCAACGCGGACCACTACCCGCAACTCACCTACCCCGATCTGTATGTCCTGGACGGTGGTTACAGTTCCTTCTTCTCCAAGCACCGCTCGCTGTGCTACCCGCAGAACTATGTCGAGATGTCTGCCAAGGAGCACGAATTCGCTTGCGAGCGAGGCCTCGGCAAGGTGAAGCAACGGTCCAAGTTGAATCGGGCTCAGACTTTTGCGTTCGGGGAGAATTCGCCTCAAATGGAAGACAGCCCGACCGGACGGTGTCGCAATGGCCCCGGGGAGCGAAACCGATTTTTGGGATCCCCGTTTGCCGAAAGCCCCGCATCCAGTCGACTCTCCGGCCGTCGGATGCTCTCTTACTAAAGTTACGAAACCTTGGTGCAGTGCACCGTGCACCACGCAATGATGTTATGACCGACTTGGAACAAGCCACGCTGCGACCACCTGATGGCCTTTCTTTTGCACCTGGCTCTTTTCTTCTGCCCTTCAGCGTTTCCTAAAAATGGCCAGTGCAGGTCAATTGGCTGAACGTGTGCATTTGCGAGTTTTGGCGCAAAAGGGTTTGCATCCTTGGGCTTTGGAGGGAGACGCATTGGACCTTGGGAAAGGTAGCGTCTCACCTGACCAGCCCGTTCCGCTCATTTTGATTCTCGGTTTCTTTCCTATTTCCTTGGGATGATGTGGTGAAGAAGAAATTGGATTCGGCACTTTTGATGACACCCCAAGCTTCGACCTTCCTTACTCGGTTCGTTCTCATACCTACAGTGATAATTTTACCCTCGAACACGACACAGAATACCTCCCAATCACGACTTATCTGAACCGACATCCCTCTCACCGATCACTCCCTTCGGACCTTTTCCTATGTTTGTTTTGAACGAGGCACCCTCAGGATGATTCTTATCTGCATCCGAGGGACTTCCCTCCACCGATGATACCTCGCCGTCCGGCAATTTCCTTTTCGAAGACTTTTTTCCTATTTTCCTTTACCGTCTTTAATCATCCTCCCGGTTCCCTGTACAATCCCGAGGGAGTGTCACACTGCTCGCCGTACGAAGTATATATCGATGTACGGCTCGTCTTGCCAGACGATAATTATTGTTGTGCGCGGCGGCCTCGTCAACACGGCGCTGACTTGGTTTGGATGAAGCATTCGGAGTCAGACTAATAAGTGATTGACGGAGGCTGCCAGTGCAGCTGTACATAGATGAAGCGTTGGTCGGCTATGGCCCGGCTATTAATGGAGGGGGGAGTTCAAGATTAGAGACAGATTTCCTTTGTTGGAATGAAGAAACGAATTACTTCTACATGGTTCTTGAGTAATACGGAGTAGAGAGAGTAGAGAGAGTAGAGAGAGTAGAGAGGGTAGATCCCTGAGTACCAAGGTGATCACTCGGGGCCTATACTGAGTACTAGGGTGGAACTAAAGCCTGAGGCATCCACAAGCGGGGCGGTGATCTCTTTGACTCGGAGATTCCGCCTCCGCTCCGCTCCTCTCTTTCTTCTGCTCCTGCCCATAACTAATCACGACTCAACCGTTTGACACCAACTACCCTCAGCGGGGAGTCAATGCACCGACCGCCATGGATATTGACGACATTCTCGCCTCCGTGGACCGCCACGACCCGACCACCCCGGAGTCCACGGCGCTGGACCACCAATTGCTGACGCGGTTCTGGGTGGCCGAGCGCGGCGTCTCGGAGCTGCTTCCCTGGCCGGGGCCCTTGATGGACCGCATGATGGACCGCGTTCGACGACAGGTACCTATTCTGCCTTCGCACTCCCCGTCCCCCACCTTCCCCTTCCCCACCAGACTCAGTCTTAGTCTTGTATCCAGTATACAACCCCATTGACAATTCCAAATTCCAGATCGAAACAATCGAAGACCTAGCCGCAACCTCCGCCGACCCCCTCCCCAGCACCAGCACCACCACAAACCTCCAAACCACCACCACCAACACCAACACCACAATAAACCTTACCCTCTCAATTCTCCAAACCGACCTCTCCCGCACCCAATACACCCTCCGCAGCCTCCTCCGGCAGCGTCTCTCCAAACTCACAAAACACAGCATGCACTACCTCCTCCGCATCTCGCCGCCCACCACCCAACAAACCCAATCGCAATCCCAAACGGCAGAGCACGACCTCCGCCCCGAGGACTCCATCCCCACCGTGGGCCAAGAAGCCCCACACCCGCCTCTCTCGGCCCCCGAGGTGAGGTTCCTGGTCGCGCATCAGCACCTCCTGGCCAAGCACTACGGGGACGCGTTCCTGGGGTCGTTCCCGCCGCAGCTGCGTCGGTTGGATGATAACGCCGGCGGGACGAGTATGGTGCAGGGGCCGGAGGTGCGGGAGGTGGTGTTTGTGCGGTGTTTGGTGGAGGAGGTGCGGGTGGTGGTGCCGCCGGGGGATGGGGTCGAGGAGGAGGTGGTGGGCGGCACGGCGATGCGGATGGGGGATGTTTGGGCGGTCAGGTGGGAGGGGGTCAGGGATGCGTGGCGCAGGGGCGAGGTGGAGGTTCTTTAGTATTGGGTTCTGAGGTTGGGGATGTGAGATGGGGCCAAGGAGGAGGTCAGGATGAGCTTCTTTGTATGTTATGTTGGACTGTTGGCAAGGTTCGGGCTCGGGACATGGTTGTATACCAATGTGCATGGTTGCATGGTGCATGGTGCATGGTGGCGTTGCAAGCTTCTTTTCGTTGATTGTTGTTATGTTTCCTGATGATACCTACTGCATACATCGCTTCTACATTTACTGCATACATGCTTTCACATTTACTGCATATGACAGTGTATACTGCACTGCACAAGTGACAGACTTCATTTCATATGTCTGACCATTCTTGGACTGAACAATTCCTAAGGCTCAGGCTCAGGCTCAGGCTCAGGCTCAATCCCACCACGCCTACAACCTGCAAACTAAACCCAGAAAATGCATTAAACAAAAGCAGAACCCCCTGCCGGTGGAAATGCAACAAGACAGAAAAAAGTCTATATGGTTCGCCTTTGCGCCCTCAACGCTAAGCTCAAGACCCATTTCGTTCCCTGCTCTCAATTCGCTTCGATGGCGATAACTAAAACCCACAAGAAGAAAAAAAAACCAACATTCAAAGATCATTCCAATCATGCGACGTATCCGTACGTGGGAGGATCTTCCTCAACACGCTCCAAATACTCGCGGTCAATTAAGCTCTCGATGCGCTTCTTGATCATGTTGACATCGGGCACAAACCGCGCAGACAGCTGACTCAGGACTTCCGTCATGAGTTTGGAATGGGTTAAGGATTTGCGTTGCCTGTCCCAGAAGATTAGCACCACCTTGATGAAATAATGGCTTGCGATGCAGTGCAAACTTACTTCATGATCCGCACAATAGCGGCCTCGATGCTGGCGCCACGCTCTTCGCTCATCTTCTTCTCCGTCTCCTTCCGCTGATCCTGACTCTCGACCTTGTTGGCACTGCCGCTCACGACGCCGATGCGGACCTTCAAGAATGGGCTCTGGAAGTCGTTGTTGAAGAAGAACTTGTCCGTGGATTTGACATCTCTGCTCATCGGCTCTTTGCGCAGGACCCGGGTCTTCTGCGCCACCGCAAGTGCTTGCAGGTTGCGAATGAGGTCATGGTCGGTAATCCGCGTGCGCTCTTTGATATCGGTGTAGGTCAAGAATTCGCCCGTGGGCACATCGTTAAACAAAAGCAAGATGACCATGGCGTATGTGGAAACGTTGAGCTCGTGTCTTTGAATCTTGCCGTTCGATCGCGGGAACTCTAGACGGATGTCCGCAGTGCCCATGGTGGGTTGCCATGAGAGCTTGCGCCCGCTGTGTTTGCCCAAGTAATACTGCTCGAAGCTCTGTTTGACGCTCTCTACTTCTTTCGGGTAGATGCAGCCCAGTTGCACGTTATCACGGGTGGCACTGGCCATGATCTCCATGGGCCACATAGTGCTAGTGAGGACGTTGATGTCCAGGTCGATGCGCTTCGTGTTGGGGTCACCAGTCTTCTTGGCGTGTTCTTTGTAGCTGGCCGTCAGATCCTCCGAGATCGTCATGTCCTTGAACATCGCTTCCAAGCGCTGTGTGAACTGATTGCCAACCTCCAATTTCATCTTCGAGATCATCTGCCGCTCCGCGTCCATGCTTACCGAGCGCTTCATGAGCAGACGACGGGAAAGATGTTTCTTGTAGTACGCCTCGAACATGTCTTTGTCTTTGACATAGCGAAGCAGCGTGATGCCGTTGTCCAGCAACGAGTCAACCTCTGTTTCTGTTTTCCCCTTAATGCCCTTCTTCAGATTCTCATCGAAGAACAGAGACAGGTACTCCGAGCTGCGCGATTCAGAATTGATGAATTCCGAGAAACTGGTAGTAATCGCACTCTGCATGACATGGTCCGATTGGAACGAGTCCTCCCAGATGTTATCGAACTTCTTCTTCAAACCCAGAATGTCGTCCACCCATTTGATAGCGGCAGCCGTCTGCTGGTTGACCGGTTTCTCTTTCTCGGCCGGCTTCTTTGCTTTTTCGCCCTTGTCTGCCGGTTTCTTAGGCTCTGCCGGTGTTTGTGCCAATTCGACTGCCCCAGCGTTGATCTCCTTGCCCATTTCCACGATGCGCTTCTGGACCGCCGTTGTGAGAGGGGACTTCTTCGGATCGACTCGTGCGCTCAGCACATAGATACTCCGCAAGCTATCCAGGCGATCATTGTCGAGCATCTGCCGGACCCCCGTGCCTTCCAGATTGACCACCTCCGCGATATTATTCTCGATCAGTTCTCGATCCAGAACCTCCTTGATCTTCGGCGCGGTGGATGATGCGAGGGTGTACATGCACCGCTCCGTCTCTTCGGCGAGGCGGTCTGTGGCAACCTTACAAAATGTCGCGGCATCGCCCGTCTCCAGCAAGCGTCGTCCTTCCGCCTGGTAAAACCTTTTGCTTGCGTCCAGGAACGCCGGCTCGAATAAGGTCAGGTAGAGCTTCGACGACTCCTCCTCGGTGATTGTCTCGTATAGTCCTTCCAGCATGGTGACGCAATGGCTGATCAATGGGCGGTCGATGATCTGCCCGGACCGTTCGAGCTGGATCATGAAAAGGATGGTCGACTCGAGCACATCCACTACCGTCGTCTTGGCATCCGATCGGATCGGCGACCGTAATACATGGTCTCGGAATAGTGCCATGGCTGCCGCGTAAATCGACGGCTTGCGGTGGTCGGTCGACATGACTCGATCCTAGAGCCCAGAAAGGTCAGCTACCAATAGTCAAGCCTTCCGTCCGATCTCAATATTTGGAACATACCATATACATGAGCACGTCCGTGATCATACCCATGCACAGCTGATGGTCCTCAAAGGCCTCCCTCATGGCGGCCAGAAACCTCTCCCCGGCCTCCCGACGCTCATTGGCCTGATCTTGCACCTCCGCAAGCTCTTTCGCGAGCAGCAGGCTGGACGAGATTGCCGCCGTCACCCGGGTCTTGACCTCATCGTCGAGCCAGTCTTGTTCCAATTTCTTGATTCGTTCGTAGAGGTCCTCCCCGCGCATCATCAGGACGATATTATAGGAGTTGCGATACAGTTGCTCGAAAGAGAGGTTGGAGGCATCTTTGGTGTGGATCTTCTTCAACGAGGTCGAGAGGTCGGCCCAATTCGTCTCAAAATCGTCGCCTTTATTCGCTGTGAGGCCCTATATTTCTTCCAGTCAGCGAAGATGTCGGGTGGGTATGGCTGGAGGTCAAGTTGTCACGGCGGAGTCGGTCGTTGATCGCCACCTGCTACTGACCACTTGTTCCGCGCCAGAGATTACTCTTGACTTGAGATAATAGACGACAGAGATACAAGAGGATAATAATCAGAAAATGTAACTCACCCTTCGCGGAGCGCGAATCCGCTGTCGTGCTCTCATGGCCATCTCAATTTGACTGACGTTGTATACTCGGGCGTTGGCATGCGCGGGGCAAAGCTCCGGAGTGGATAAGATTTGGATAAGATTCCGAGAGGAGACAGAGTGAGTGCCTTAGGGAACGGAGAAAAGTAGCTAACGAGAGTGGCGAGAGGGGATCATCCAGATGCCCAGGTTAGCGCTGGAGAAGAACAAGGGTATAGTCAAAGCAGGTTAACACATCAAGGTGATTTGCGAGCAAATCAAGCTCGAGGAAATGAGATATGAGAATGGATAGATAGATAGATAGTATTGTACAGTAAAGTCAGTCAAGTCAAGTCAAGTAAAGTAAAGTAAAGTGACGAGCAGGGGAAAGACCCGCCGAGGGGCCTGGAAAAACCTATCTCCGATGTAAACTCCGCGGCGCGGAAATTCCGTCATTCTCCCGCTTTCTACAACCTTTGGAGGTATTCACTCCAATCTTTTTTTTTCTTTCTTTCTTCGATTGTCCTTCACTAAATCTACACCACCTCCCTCTCTCAATACCTTTCAACGCCAAACAGACAATAATGCGCTCAATCCAATCCCTCTCCCACTGCCTCCGCGCCCTCACCCAGCGCTCCCTCCCCCGCGCAGCAACCATCTCCAACGCCAGCGCCAGCGCAAGCGCCACTTTTCTCACACCCGCATCCTCATTTTCATCCATATCAGCATCAGCGTCATCGCGCACATTCATCCACCTCACCTCTCCCTCCCCAATCGCAACCACAAGAACCACAACTAAAACCACCGCACTCCTCTCCGCGCGCCACAACTCCACCACCACCACCAGCCAACCAGATCCCACCGCCACCACCGAGGAGAGCAACACCAGCACCAACGAAAGCAACACCAACACCCTCACCGACCGCCACGGCGACGCCGCCACCGACGCGGCGCACGCGGAGCAGAACCGCCTCCGTCGCGAGCAGGAGCCCGCCTACCAGATCACCTTCACCTGCAAGCCGTGCGGCGGGCGGTCGTCGCACCGCATGTCCAAGCACGGCTACCACCGCGGCACCGTGCTGATCCAGTGCCCCACCTGCAGCAACCGGCACGTCATCGCCGACCACCTGAACATCTTCTTCGACGAGAAGAGCACCCTCGAGGATATCCTGGCGCGTCAGGGGGACAAGCTGATGCGCGGGTACACCAATGGGGATATGGAGTTCTGGGAGAATGGGAAGGTGAAGGAGGCGGAGGCTGCGGATGGAAAGAACAAGGGTGGGGAGGCTGGGCAGGCGCAGGGTCGGATTGCTTGATTTCTTTTCCGGGCTGAGGTTGTGCTGTATGATCAACTGAAAGGGGGAAAAAGAAAAGTTGGGGTTGTGAAATTCTGCTGGAGGTATTCCGCAAAGCGTGGAGCGTGGTGCTAGAGGCGTTTTGGATCCTTGTCTGTCATGGACGTGTTTGGGTTGGGCTACTTGCTTCTGTGGATAGAATTTTGGGGAGGTTCAGGTGCAATGACACTCTGCTCTACATACTTACTTTGAGGCTGGACTCGGAAGATGATGGAAGCAAAGAAGGAAAGAAATCATGTAATATAATATACTAGAACGAAAAAAAGAAATCTCCTATCCTCTCCGTCAACGCCGTGGACTTTTTATATGACAGCTCCAGAAGATGAGAAAAAGGAAACAATTCGCTTAGCAAATCACCCACTCCTCTTACCAACCACGTCTCTTGCCGCGGTGCTCGGCTCCTCGTTCCTTGCGCTTCTCGCGCTTGCGGTCGTTCCTCCTCCTCTTGTCCTTCTCGTATCTCTCGGGTTCGGCAACCGCCTCGATGCGTCGCTTAACGCGTCTGCCTTCACGTCGCTCCTTGATTGCATCCTGGACTTCGCCCATCTGCTTCACGAACTCGGTGGTACCGAGCTTCTTCTGCAGAATATCGAGCACTTCGTGGCAGTTGGCCACCAGGGATTTGTACGACTCGCGGAACGCCTCGTCCGAGGAGCGGGGCGCCGGGATGGTGTTGTCCGTCATGTGCTGGAGAGGGAGCAGGATGACCGCGAGAGATCCGCTGAGCTGGTCAACCTCGAGATGGCGGCACAGCGAAGCGAGAAGACCGATGGCAGCGGTCTTGGGAATCAAGGACTCCGCCCGTGTGGTGATGAGTTCTCGGCGGAGAATGGAAGACGTCTGCTCGAAGATATACCGAATGGCAGGCTTGGACTTGGGAGAGGACGACCGCTGGGCTTCCTCGTCATCTTCGTGCTCACTGTCACTAGCGTCCGACTCTGCGTCCTTGCCACCCGACCGCGTGAACTCCAACCCGTTCTGAGCGCAGCAGCGACCCAGGAATATAAGATTGCGGACGGATTGCATGGCAAGCTCCTCGCTGACTGCCGGGGTGTGGAGACAGCGCAAGCTGGCACGGATCAGCTGCAACATAGCATCTTTGTCGAGGGACAACCCCGTGGAACCAGCCAGCGGGATTGAGGCGTAGCCATTGGTGGCGTTGAAGCGTGCTAGGTCCGCGAACCATGTGCCAACCAGATTTGAGGCGCAGGTTTTGACCCAGGCGTGGGTGTAGAAGAGACTCTCGCGGACGGCAGCCCAGATCGGCGCACGCTCCGGGGAAAGCGCCAGAGCGGGGACGGTCTTGCAGAGCTTCGAGAAAAGCTGAAGAGCGAAGTACAGCGTCTGCCAATTCTCATTATCGTCGGCTTTGAGGACTGGCTGCATGATGGACGGCAAGATATCCAGAACGAATCGAGCCTCCTTGTCTTTCTCCGTCGCCTCGACTTCGAAGTAGATTCTCATGGCCTGTAGGCCAGTGCTGTTCAAGAGCATGTTTTCCGTCTGTTCTAGCCACGAGTGTAGAGGCGTAAGCATAGACTTCATCTGTTCCCTATCGGCCCTGGAGTACAACTCGCCCAATAGGTGACCAGCCATCTCCCTGCACTCAGGCGCATCGTCATTCGACATCACAATGACAATGGGCAGGAAGAACGTGCTGACAATGTCTTGAGCCAGCTCATCGCCCGTCTTAGACAGCAACAAGTGAATGGCCTCCATGACTGATTGGCGCCCTTCTTGATGCTTATATTCCAGGTTCTTGGCCAAGAAACTAAGCTGTTTGGTCCATCTGTTCTTGGCTTGCGGGTATTCAATCAAGAAGTGGACGTACGTGCCCCGTGCTAAATCACGAGCGGCGCGAGTCTGGTTGGTGACCATCATGGTAGCGATGCTATCAGCCAGTTCATACATTTCAGGCACCACAAACTTGCGAGACATCACTGCACGGACGAAGTTGAAGGCTATACCTTGACGGTCAGGCTCCTCAATATCTGAGTTGAGACGTTGGAGGAGATAGGCAAGGTGACCGTCCCTGATTTTGGTGCTCTTTCGTTCTCGTAGCATTGCCGTAATCAGTTTCAAGGACGCTTGCGCAGCCTCCGTATTGGTGCTCGGTGCCTCCTTGACGACCTTGACAGCTTCTGTGATATACACATGATGATTGGCATCAATTTCCGGAATCGGAAGCTTGATGATTGTCGACAACAAGCGGAGAGCTGAAGTCTTAACTTCCTCATGTGCCTGGACCAGTGAATCGCCGATGACAGGAATGAACCCAGCCAGATTTCCGGGCGTGAGCAAGGAATTGTACTTGTTCAAGACAGTACGCAGGACATCGAGAGAGAAGCGCGTCAACTTGTAAAGATAAGAAGTCGTGCTTCCTTTCTTGTCGCTTCGCTTGTGGAACTTGAGGTCAATCAACAGATTTTCTTCCTGTGCCGATTTGACTGTCTTGTTCTCCGCTTGAATGGGTCCTTTGTACGTCTCCTTGATGATTTCGTAGCAGAACATCAGGATGTCGCGACTTTCCACTCCAGGGTTCCTCAAAAGACCCACGCCAATTCTTCGCAGTAGCTCGTCGACTTTCCTGATAATGTTGGAGTTGAGCTTCTCCAGAAGAAGCGATTGCAGAGGTCGGAGGAGCCTGGCAAGGTTGGGAACAGTAGCATTCTTTGCTAAGAGCTCCATCGAATCGTAGCTCTTGCTGCTCTTGACTTCCGTCATCTTGCTCACATACTCTTCTGCCTCCTTCTCCTGGCCCACAGCGCCAAACGTGTCGTCCATGATAATAGAGCCCAGTTCTGTCAGGCAGTCGTCCAGATCGCCCTGTTTGAACACGTCTGTCGTACCGACGAGTATAGAGTGAACAGTGAATGAAAGCACGTGACGCTGATAGCCCTTGGTCAAAGTGGTACGCAGTTCCTTCAGGATGTATCTGAGGTAACCAGGACCCAGCAGGAGCGCAATCTCATTGAGTGTCTTTCTAGCAGTGTCTCGTGAATCCTGAGCCTTACTCTTAAGAATGCTGCAAACATCCAGCAGAACTGGGGGCAAACGGATGGCCATGTCTTCCTCAGGCAGCAACTTCAAAAGCTTGATGGTCGTGACCGCAGCTGGCAGACGTAGACTCATCTGCGCTTCATCCTTGTGGTGAATGAAGTTGGTCAACTGAGGGATGAAATTAGAAGTAAGCTCGTTCGCAACCTTTGCGGCTGAAGGGATGGTTCGTGCGAGAGTGGAGGTCGGCTCTGACGTCTCAAGACCGTCCATCCCACTCTGAGCAGCATCCTTGATAGCTTTATGCTGTTTCATGGCGTTGGTCAACGAGTCAGACATCTTACCAAGAAGTCTCAAAATGCTCTTCTCCAATTCCGACTTGCTTTGCATGTAGCCACGATATCTCCGGAAGATGGCACGGAACTGGGGCCACTCCAAAGATTCTGCCAGAGTGCCAATGGTATTCACAGCCTCGGCGGTCAAGTTGTGAGCCGCCTCATCGACCTCTTCGTCAAACACAAAGTGTTCATTGAGAGGAATGAAGATGGTGCTAATGTTGGACGCCTGAAGATTGCCCTTGGCTGCTTCGCCTGCCAAACGGCGCAGTGCACGCAGACGACGATGTTGTTGGATGTGCAGGACATTGTTGAAGAACGAGGCTTCTTCATCGTCACCCACAAGCAAGACATGCATGTCTTTCACGGTTGGGCGTTCAGGGTTCAGCTTGATGAAATATCCGAGCGCAGCCACAAATTCGGCGCGGATAAGCTCTGACTTCTGGCGAACACCGGCCTGCAAAGCAGGGAACAAGATATCGGTTACAAGCACTTCCATTTCGTCTTGGTCATTGGGAAGAATGGCTCGCTCCATGAATCGCTTCAGGCCGAAAGCAGCACTCGTTCGGATCGCGAGTTCTTCCTCGTCTTTGACTTGATACAACACGTTGTAGAGCAGCGGGCGCCACTGCTTAGCGTCAAGCTTGCCCCACAAATTGTCGTTGATTTCTCTGAAAGCTTGCAGTCGGCGTTCGTAATCGACTTCCAGCTTCTTTCTAGAGATGGAGTTCAAGTCCTCACACAGACTAGCAACCTTGGTAAGATCAGAGTCGTGGGTGGCAAACGCCGTGAAGACTCTGGACAGAACCTCTCTGTTCGCATCGTCCCGGAAGTAATCGAAAAGGGACGAGATGGCCTCAAAAACGGCCTTGGTGAGCTCAAGATCCTCCTGGGTGTTGAATAAGGGTAGGAAATGCTCCAGGGAGCGCAGGAGGCCGGATTTAGTTTTAGGGGAGACTCTGTCGGGGGGTTGGCGGAGAAGATAGGTAGTGATGCTGATAAGGCTGTATGTCTCCTTCGAAGATTCAACGCAGGGCGAGATGAGAGAAAGAGTTTGAACACCCGAGACGAGCAAAGTACGGGAGGGGCCACGTTTGAGGAGCTGAGCCAAGTGAGACAGAATGTGCTCAATATAAGGACCCAAAACCTGGGACCTAATTTCGTCCGCAGGAATATCACTCATGGTCTCGTTATCCTGAAGCGTCTTTCCAGTGGCCAGCCCGATCAAGGGATTCAAGACCTCATCCATGACGAAAGCCTTGACTTCATCTCGTGCGGAGTCGACACCAAGGATATCCACCACCTTCGTCAACAAGGCATCGTTGAATTTGGTGAGATAGAATGACGATTTCGGGGAAGTAGCCCAGGTATGGAAGAGCTTGAGGAGACCGGATACACCCTGAGCGGTTTCAATGGCGAAACCTTCCAGTCTTGAATTGATCACCTCGTCAAAAATGATGCGAACGTAAGACGACCAGTCAGTGTCGAGAGACATGGCAAAGATGAGGTCGAGACAGCGTATGCACGTGTAGCGAATATTACGCAGCACTGTCAGCTGCCGTTCTTCTTGCGAGTCTGCAGCTGACGCCGTCTGCGCCTTCTCAAGCTCCCGGCATGCTCGCACAAGACAATAAAGCACCACGTTCATGGATCTCTCCGCATAGGGGACCATTCGGTTTTGAAGTGTTTCGAAGACAGTTTCAATCATCTTCAGCAGACCCATTTGCTTCCTCGGACTAGCCAGAGATTGCTCGAAAGCTTGCTGCTCAATTTGACCATCGCGGACAAGACTGACATCGCTAAGAGGACCGAAGGAGACTTGCATGAAGACCTCGAATTCCTTATCAGGTAGTTGTGACAAGGTTCTCAAAATGGCCTTTCTCCGACCCGTTTGCCCTGCCTGGCTAGAAGTCGCGCCAGCCTTCGAGATCATACGACCATACAATACACGGAGGAGAACAGGAACGAGCTCAGGCCGGTGTGCTTCCTCGATCAAGCTATCTTCACCACCAACGCGAACGAACACAGAAAGCTCATCCCTAAAGCGGTTTTCATCCATGATATTCATAAGATTCTCTTGGTAAGGGACAATACTTGGTGACTTCCAAGTAAAAAGAGCTTTGAGTGCGCATTTTTGAATGTCCGAGTTACCATGGCAAAGCAATCCCAGAATAGCATCATGAATCTCAGGAGCCCTGTATAGAACACGAGGATTGACGAATTGACCAAGAAGCCTGAGGAATGCCAGACGATCGAGGAAACCCCAGGGGATGAAGTCTTCGTCCGAGGAACTCTCGTCGTCATCACGCGAAGCCCACTGGAGAAACAAGGGCGCGATTTGGCGGAATCGTTTCTCTGCGATATTGGGGATGGCGTTCAGAACACGAAGAGCATGGGTTCGGGGAGAAGCTGGTAGTGCATCCGTGAAGGTATGATCCTTGCTGTACTCGTCCTCTAGCATTGAATCGGGTTGCTCAGGGCCTTGGAAGTATTTAGCGGATATATCTTCAATCCTGGCCGCGTTAAAGCACTGGAAATAACCAGACCGGTAGTCAGGGGTTTCTTCCTCTTGCTCATCTGCACTCGTGTCCAAAGAGCCCCGTTCGAGGAGCCACTTCATGGCAAGATCCGAAATGATCTTCTCACCCTCGGGATTCTCGCTCATTGATTTCAAGGCCTCCGCAGAATCGTCCCACAACGGAGTCATCTTCTTGGAAAAGAGTCCAAAACAGAAGTTGGGAATCAACCTAGCCATCCACCTGCGGGGGACCACCTGTGGATAAGCTAGAGCAAGTTTACGCACTTGCATTGCCAAAACTCTATGGCTATGAAGCGTCAACTGACTCTCTTCAATCTCAATGGCGAGAGAGACCATCTCAGCATCGTCGCCCAACGCTTGAACCAGTTCTCTAAGGATCTTCAAAGACAATAACCTGAGTTTCTGAGACGGGCCGTTGAGATTTGTAATGAGCACATCCGCAAAGTCTTCGACGGTGGAGTCATTGAGGTCGATGTCTCCGTTCAGAGCCGAGATATAAGCCAGCGTCGCTTCGAGGAACACCGGGAGACGAGAGTACGTTGCGGCTACTGCGCTGATCTGCTTCCAGAGAGAGCGGTCGAGTTTCTCGGACTGCAAGGCAAGTTCCACATATGCCTTGAAGCCTTGGCCCAAGTAGAATTTGGTTCTCGCAGACGTATCCACATTCTTCTTGTTCTTCTTCAAGGTGCGAAGCAGATGACCGTGCAAGGTTTGTACCATATCAGGCAACAAAGTCGGTTCCGTTGACAAAGATATCGCATTCGGAAGCTTAGAATATGCGTTGACAAGGCTCAGTTCTGTAGCATTGTGTGTGGGCTTGCTTAGTGTATCCTTGACACGGGATTTCCACGTTGCAGGGCAGGTAATATAACCAGGCTTCGAGGCTTCTGATGTAATGCAGCCAGCCTGGTTCAGTCGCAACAAGGCCAGGCAGAGCTCATGCTCGTGCTCCTGCCACAATGTGTTGACGAATTTCTGGAAATAAGGCAGGACGACGCTGTGGAATCTCTCGGGACCCCACTCCGAGAAGGTAGCACAAAACGGCAGGAAGAAGGATGTAAGTTTGTCGTTGGTCACAGCATCCATGAGTGAACGCATGTATGGCAACATCTCGTCCATTGGAGAGACTTGAAGTGCATATGCGACAGCAGTCAGAAGCTGCGGGGCAGCCTCAGCGTACGCCTCCGGCGCTTCTGCAGCCTTCTTGAGCAGACGAAGGAGGATATTATGAACAGGCTTCCAGACCTTGACTCGAGAACCCTTGCGAGTGGCGATACACTGGAATATCAAGCGACAGCATGCGTTCGCATGTTGCTTGTCGGTCTTGGAGCAGGATGATTCGATGTAAGAGCGGACGGTATCCAGGATGGGTTCATAGGTCTCGGCCGTCGTATTGTGCATTAAGTTGATAAGCAATCCGCAAGTGACGTCTAGCGCCAGACTGCTTTGTAGATCATCACCGTTGCAGATATGTTCCAGAATGCAAGTCAGGATATCAGTTCCGTTAGAGTGAATGCCATTCTTGACACCCTTGATGGCGTCGGAGAACATGGCCATAAGTCCGTCCTTGTAGATATCGACATTCTTGTCGTCACCAGCTGCTTGACGTAGATCCTCCAGTAGGAACGAGACCGCACGTTGAAGGGGAGTGGGATTCTTGTAATAGACCAGACCCGCCTTGCGAATAAGGAAGGACATGGACTCGGCGGCGAATCGGGCAACATGTGTCTTTTGTCGTTCTTTGCCGAGATAGGGAGTCATGATGCCCAACAGCTGCCGAAGGTCTGGGACCAAAAGTCGCGAAAGGAACTTGAAGATCCATGCCAAGCAGCTGAAGCTCCATTCGACAACTTCGACGTCAGTGTGGGTGGCTGCAACGGATGCGACGAGGGTGACGGCCGTGGCGAAGTGCTTCTCGAAGCGTACACCCAGATCTCGTGCAAATTGGGCAAGAAGAGCCAAGAGTGGCTCTATCGACAACTGATCCCTCTTCTCGATGAACTCCACCAGCAGGTTCATAATCTTGTCCTCGTGGTACAGGATCTGGGCCAGACTCTCGCACAGCGGGTTGACTCGACGGGCGAATTGTACGAAATTCTCGGACAGGTTCAACTCCACCCAGTGATCGAAGGCCGAACGAAAGTAGGAGGAGGTCTCGTCGCCTTCTTCACCGAAGCTGGGGCGGCGCACGCGATGGATGGGATCGATCTTGAGCTTTGCGACGCGCTGCGAAAACGGTTCGAATCGATGCGACTTTGTTGTCTCTGTCCCTCCCTTGACCCGCTTCACGGGCTTTGACCGCGAAGAAGACGACGCTGCTACCATCCTGACGTATGATGGTGACTGAATTAAGCAGCGCCGCTGTGTATATGAAGTTAACAATATCAAATTAATGGGGGACTGGTTCCATCACCGCCCCTCTTTGCCGTATAGACAAAAAAATTCATCGGTGCCGCAGCAACCTTGTTCCGGGTGCGGAGATTGTCTCTTCTAGCGCCGGGGTTAACAACTGGCAAGGCCTATCACGTGGGACGCAGTGGGCCCAAGCTTCCTGCCGCTCCATTTTTGGCGATCCAGCCCAGTCTCCAGGCTTCATTCCATTTAATTCAATTCAATCTACAATAGTCGATTGGATTCATTGCGGAATTGGAGTAACAATTGAACAACACCACCACTATACTTCTCCGACTCTCATTGCGCAAAATACAGATCACAAAAGGCTGGAGTCCATAGAACCCTGACTGAGTCCAGTGCGGCTCCAATTGCGCCAGCCTCGATTCTTGCATCATAGTATCGAATCGCAACATGGCTTCCAAGATGTGAGTGCGCCAGCCACAGTCCTGTCACTTAATCACTAACAGCTCCCAGAGTCGTCATCGGAGGTGTCAACTGTGAGCTCCAAGACGTCTTCACAAAACTTGCGAAGCTACATGTCAAGCAGAATTTCTCCTTCGCCATCATCGTTGGAGACCTCTTCGGCGACTGCTCGACGGAGCATGAGTTGGAGCAGATCTCGGCCCTGCTCTCAGGTAGCATCGCCGTACCCCTTCCAACATACTTCTCCCTGGGCAGCCGGCCTCTTCCCACGCGAGTGATCGAGGCGATCGAGGCCAACGATGAAGTCTGCCCTAACCTGTACTTTCTGGGCCGCCGCGGCACCCTGAAGACCGCCGAGGGCATCCGCATCGTCACCCTGGGGGGCAAGCTTTCGACAGACAACCAGGCCTCCTCCGACAAGTACCAACCCAATTACACCGAATCCGACGCCCGCACCCTCCACGGCGCGCACTCCGCTGACATCCTCATCACCAACCAATGGCCCAAGGGAATCCGCACGGGCTCCACGGCACCCTTCCCCGAAGAAGCCGCGACGACGGCGCCCCCGGACGAAGTCCAATGCATCTCCGACCTCTGCGCGACGCTCAAACCGCGCTACCACCTCACCTCGACGCCGGACTTCTTCTTCGAGCGCGAACCCTTCTTCCACCTCCCCACCTCCGAGGACGACAACCCGGACACCAAGCCACTGACCCGCTTCATCAGCCTGGCCTCCTACCGCAAGGCCAGCAAACAGAAATGGATGTACGCCTTCACGCTGGACCCGAAAGCCGCCGCGCCGCTCACCGTTCCCGCCGGCGCAACCGCCTCCCCCTTCCCCGCACCCGCCCACCTCAAACGCAAGCCCCTCGACAGCCAACACGACAGCTTCCAACGCTTCGACCAGAGCCACAACCAGCAGCACGAGCACCGGCCCCGCAAACGGGCCCGCAACCACGGCGGCCTGCCACCCCCCGGCCCGGACCAATGCTTCTTCTGCCTCTCCAACCCCAACATCGCCACCCACCTCATCACCTCCATCGGCGAAGAGAGCTACTTGACCACCGCCAAGGGCCCACTCCCCACCGCCCGCACCTTCGCCCAGCACGACCTCAACTTCCCCGGCCACATGCTCATCATCCCCTTCACGCACACCCCGACCCTGCCCGCCATCACCGACGACTCCTCCCGCCGCGCCACCTACGCCGAGATGACCCGCTACCGCACCGCGCTGCACGCCATGCTCCAGCGCCGCGCCGCCGGCGCCCTCGGCGCTGTCACCTGGGAGGTCAGCCGCGGGAACGGCATCCACGTGCACTGGCAGTTCCTGCCCGTGCCGGCGGCCCTCATCCAGCGGGGCCTCGTCGAGGCCGCCTTCAAGGTCGAGGCCGAGAACCTCAAATACCCGCGCTTCGAAGCCCCCACCGCCACCGCGGACCCCAGCAGCGAGCCCGGCGACTTCTTCCGGGTCTGGATCTGGAGTCCCTCTCCTGCTGACTCAGACAAACAAAACAACAACAACAACAACCCAGCAGAAAACCCAGAACCCAACGAAAAAACAACCACAACCACAACCACCGGCACCGACAAAACGATCCTCCTCCCCCTCGGCCCGGAGTTCCGGTTCGATCTCCAATTCGGCCGCCGGGTCATGGCCAAGTTGATGGAGTTGGAGAAGCGAATCGACTGGCGCAAGGATGTCCAGTCGCAGGAGCAGGAGGAGGCCGATGCGGTGGCCTTCAAGGAGGCCTTCAAGGAGTTTGATTTCACCTTATAGACCAAAAGCGAGGTAGGAGTCTAAGGAATCGGGAAGTAAAAAAGCTGAAAGGACCCTTTTATTTTGAGTCCAGGCGCAAAATAGAAGTGTATTTTTACGGGGCTTCACATCCCAATACCCAGTCAACTTATTTTGCGGATGGAGTTTGTCTCCGCATGTTACTCGACTATACCGTGTGTATCACAGGGGATTTAGGTTGGCGGTACTCTGTAGTTGGATGACATTTACTCGGTGGCTAGCCAGATGTGGGAATGGTTACCTTGGCATGTATTACGAGATACCGTAGCGAGGACGGGACATCCAAGAGATAGCATGGGCCCAGGTATGTCTGTAGCTTTGGACTCCTAACTCGCCGAACCATAGAAGATCAAATATTAAGGCAGGACACAGGATGGTACGGCAGTAGCCATCCCACTTCATCAAATTGACAATCATAGATATCAAATATACATCATGCAGGATTCTGTCCAGGCGGGCCACATCGGACCAAGTATGATACAAGGGAAGGTATATACAAGGTCATGCACGGGCGAAATGAGAGTGGGGCTTATAGTGTGGCATTCCGATGACAAGAAAGAGCAAGGGCCCTCTGATAGCCAAAGAGGAATGCAAGAAGCAGATACGCAGCGCAGGGCTGAGTCACTTTTCAGCGTGAAACTCGGCCTTGACTGCTTGCGTGGGGGGATGGGCTTGTCTAGAGGTTTTCAGATATCATGGTAGCTCCTCGTTCTACCTAAATCTGTTCAGGTCATGTTGATTTGCGTGATAATGGCTTCGACATTTAGGGTCATCAGGAATTCTTGAAATGAAGTTCAAAACACAGGCGGGTATCAATCCGGGGTCATAACGAAGTTTTACACGTCCCGGTAAGAGTTGGGCACCGGCCTCCGTCCGCTCTGCAGGAGACTCGGGGGCCTGCCCGGGTCACTAGCTTCGTGAGGAGTCGGCGCGGCAGCGAAAGACGGTGGTGAGGGAGGTGTGACCGGGGAGACTCCCTGGTAAGGTATGTATTGACTGATCGCCGGGGAAGGTTGGCGGTACGGTACGGGCCGAGGGGCATTCATGGCCGATGAGAGAGCGGGAGCCGGAGATCGTGTTCGGTCCATTGGCATATATGGAGGGAGTGGGGTTTCCGATGGCATATAATAAGGCTGCGAATGCTCCGCTGGTGCATGAGCGGGCTGCGTGGTGTAGGTTGGAGCCGGTGACATCGTATGATACCGTTCTTCATGGGGGAAGCCATGATTGTAAGGCTGCTCATCGTATGGAGAAATGGGAGGAGGCGATCTGGGGCCATTGTGGTTGTACCCGTATGTGTTCTGAGCATCGTACCCATGCGGGGTTTGCGCATTGTAGTCTTGAGGCTCGGGGTAGTGGCCAGGAATGTCTGTTCTGTCAAGGTGATGACCAGGAGTGCCCGTCCTCTCTGGGTATTGCCCGGGAGTGCCGGTCCGAATGGGATATTGACCAGGCGTGCCGGTCCGAATGGGATATTGACCAGGAGTACCAGCTCTAACCGGCGGAGGGCCCATGTAGCCTCCACCACCCACCCCTCCCCCATTCATTCTAGGCGCAGACGGCATCCGACGAGGCTCGCGATTGACATGATTCATAGACTCCAACTCGACTGCCTCCACATGGGGGCCAGTATCTTCCACCCTCTTGGTCACAGCATTATCCCAGCTGGGCATGGCAGGCAACGCATCCTCGTTGAACTTCGACCCTGCAGGGCTCGTCGGGGCATCAAAGCGAGCGACTTCCGTTCCTCGATACACGGGCGGCGGCTGCGGAGCTTGATATGGAGACTTTACTGGCATCGGAGGCGGCATAGTCCCTGGCATAGCCCCCGGCATATCTGGGGGTGGGTACGGATCGTCCAAGTGCTTAGGCTTGCGTTGCCTGTTTCGAGGCGACGGGCAGCACATTGAACAACATCCGCAACATCCTTTGCAGCATTGAATACCGCAGCATAGACAGTTGACAATACACGCAATGACGGACAGAACAATCAGCCCGCCGACGATGATAGCAGCAATGACAGGCCACCTAAGAACTCTGGTCAGTTTCTGGAAGTATTGTACTGTGTTCATATAACATACTTGCAGTAAGCCTTGGACATGCAACTATCCCAACTCGAGAAGGTAGAAGAGGCAGACTTGAGATCGCTGACTATATCTCGCGCCCACAATGGGGCGGGGACCGTATCCACCGGACTCATTATTATGGCCCTGGCAGTCCGTGTGCTCTAACCTTGCCGCTAGTCTATCCAAAAACACCCCACTCTTGTTCAAGGACCGGGTAAAACGAATGTGAACGGTCAAAGTTATAGAGTCTGTTTTGTAAGCGTGTTCCTGACACGTCGGATGCGATCATGTAATTTGCAGCGTGATGATAACAAAAGGAGCGGTATCGACCCGGATAGCGATCGTGGGCGTCGTTTCGGAGTGATTGGGGTCGGAAATAGCAACAATGCCGAAGAGTATGAATGAATGTATGCGTTGTTCATGTGTCCATCCGCTCCTTCGGTCTGGGTGCAATGAGTGACTCGGTTTGCGACTTTACGCGATGCCGGATTTGCGCAAGGTGGAATCGAATGGTGTGTTTCAAAAGGGCACCGGATATGCAAAACCTGTATTCGCACAATGGCCCGATTGACGCGACAGTGTAATAAAGACTGGATGGATGGATAATGATCTTTGTTTTGAGTGTTGTGCGTGCGCTCAAAGAGCACTCACTGCCTTTAGGGGGAAGGAGGGAAAGGAACGATCAGATGTAGACTTTTAGGCACCTGCAAGGCAATGGTTCCCTTTCCAGGATTGGGAAGTAGGGAGCCGGATAGAACGAAAGGCGCCGCTAGGAAGTCCCTAAGCGACCGGGGGGAAGATGATTAGAAGCCAAAACGAAGGAGAAGAAGAGAAGGGAGGAGGAGGAGGCAGGGAGAGGAGTTGGATGAAGCGGAACGAAAGAGAGAAAGGAAAGAACTTCAGTTCAGAGATCGGCGTTCCATTGAGTGAGGAGAGAACAACCATCAACCATCAACCATCAACCATCAACCATCAATCAACCGATCAAACACCACAAACCTCGTATTTGCGGCCCCATCTCGCCCTGATCACTAAGTAAAGTCAACTAACTCGACTGACCTGCACTTGAAACTGTCGTTTCCCCCCCCCTTCCTCGGTCGCACTCCACCAGTGTCGATCGAAACGAAGGTGAAACCCCTTCATTGGCAGTCGCAGGGCCCACTGAACCTCCGTGGCATCATGTACTCAAGTACTTTGGTAAATTACCATCATACTGACTAACAGTCTACGTACCTTATAAAAACTACAAAAGGAGATTACCTAGTATAACCCTGTCTTGAGCTGATCGAGTTTCTTCAGACTTCGAATCAGAAACTAAGAAGTATGATTGTGAAGCGCGAGGGAGACCCCAAGGCAGAGCAATGGCAGAACTCGGCTGCCTAAACCCAATGCATGGCCTGCGGTGCCCTCTTGTTCTCTCTCCCCTTGAACTCCCAAACCAAAATAAGTTCCCAGAAACGGACAAGATAGGCAGCATCGGCAAAATCGACCGGGCTATCTTGATTTGATTCCAGATCCACTGCGCAACACATGGTCTCTCAGGGGTTCATTTATATGCATTAGATATGAAGCGATATTGGTGTAGAAGACATGCCACGGCGAAGAAGCAGGAGGACCGTATGACACAAATAAAAATAATAGGTGCAATAGAAGGTATCGAAACGTCATGCAAACCAGGCTCCCAATAGTGACAAGGAAAAAGAAAGAAAGAAAAAAAAGAAACCATAGATCAACACCCCCGACAAAGTCATTAAAATACGGGTAGGAAATAGGGAATACAACACAAAGATACTCATGAGTCCCGTCACACATTTTGCTCGTAACAGCCTCTCCTCGAGTTGGTCGCGAGGTGAAGGGCGACATATTCCAGTGGCGCGACGGAAACCAACCGACTGGACGATTATTTAAACGGCCGATCAAGAGACTCCTTGAGAATAGACATAGTATTTCATTTCGTTGGTTGAAAAGCGAACGCAGGTGGGATTAGACCTTGGAGGCCGGAGGAGGACCCGGCGGGGGTTGATATACACGTTCGCCACCATTGTGATAGGCATTCTGTGGCTGTTGCAGTTCAATGCCCGTTTGCTGCTGGCCCCCGAAGTAGCCATACTGAGGATGAGGAGAGTATTGCGGCGGCGGGGCAGGCTGGTAGTAGGGGTCTGCGTAGTACGGTTGTCCAGGCTGTTGCTGTTGCTGCGATTGCTGAAAGGTCGGCGGAGGGCCCGCAAGCCATGCGGTGCCGGGATGAGGACGAAGGCCTTGTCTGCGCCGACGGCGAGCATTGAAACAACTGCCAAAATAATTAGTCTTCTGACTTGTTCTTGCACAGGGGGTTAGGGATAACATACGCGAAGAGGAAAAAGACAAGTAAAGCTACTCCAACAATGACAGCGAAGGCGATCCATCGACCCCAATCGTACCAGCTATTGCCATCGCAGACATAGCCATTATATGTCTCCCGGCTAGATAGTTGTTAGGAATTTTGAGAAAATCTTGTGGATCCATGGCGTACATCCATAAGATGTGAATGTAGCCGATACCATGGTGTGTTGAGTTTACATACCAATCTCGACGTAGCAGGACACCCATGGTGGCTGAACCTCTTGATGCGAGGCGATACTCTGGGGAAGGCGGCGGAGGATGACGTCGATCAGCAGGCGTAGAGAACTAACGAAACGAGTGCAAGATGAGTTAAGATGAACTGATGTCGAATCAAACGGGTTTGAGAGAGGTTTGGGCAAGCAAAGAAACTTGGGCCAGGAACAATGTAAAGGGAGAGAAGAAGAGAGTGAGAAGTGAGTTGAGTGAGTGAAGAAGTTCTTCTTGGGGCGGGTACCAGAAGGCAGCAGCCAAAAGTTGAGTGAAAGGAACTGCACGGCTAGTAAGAGTAAGTGGTTTAACTAGTCTATTGGGTAGGGCTGTGGCCTGTGGCTAAAAGAAGTGGGTTCCTCCGTTTAGTGTAAGGAATTGGAACTTATCAACTGTTTTCAGGATGGCTGGGGGGATAGTCTTGGAGAAATTAGAACTAGTCAGGTTCCTCCCCTTCTTGGCCTTTCCAGAATTGAAACAAGAATAAGTCAGAGATTGAATGGTAGCATCATCGACTGTGAAATTGTATCAATTCGAGTCCCATCGAGATTTTTCCTTTTCGCAAGAGCACCCTGAGTAATGAAGTCATCGTTGCTCCCAACGACCGCCGTATACTACTGGTACTGTACCTTATCGTAACTTATATGTATGCACCATAGATTCAGCCACACCTCATCACCGCATGTGGGGACCAACAACTGCATAATTTTGTACACACTAAAAGCTACAATGAAGTCCGTCTTATTCATTCTAGACTAGATCCATCTCTCCTCACCTTCACAGTAATAATCCTTGATCCTTTCGCCCTTCTTCACACCTTATTCGACCTCATTCGAAATCAAATTTTGGTGCCTGCTTGCCATACCTTACTATGTCCAGTACAGTTTTCTAGCATGGCATCGGATACCTCGGATGACCGCCACCCGCAATCAACGGTCGGATGGAAAAAAAGATTCCCAGTTGCATGGCAGAACAACTACAAGTTCAAGTCAACATCACATCACGAGCTTACTCTCTCAAGCTTACATCTCGTGATCCCGGTGCCACGAGTAAATTACCCGTTCGATTCGCACTACTCCGTACCGTGGACGGACACCTCCAACACACTTTTTTGAGGCTGTGCTGTCTCGGCATGATATCATCCACCGCAAGGCAGACCAGAGCAGAAACCAGAGCAATGGGATCCATAGCAGTATTTACGCCGACGTTCTGCAACGTACAGTACTGTAGTGTCAGTAAAGTGAATGCCACTTTACGGAATATGGAAGAAGCTTTTATGCACCCAAGTGGCAGTGCAGTCAGTGATTTTACCGAGTTTGTTGGGCCCAAAGGAATTGCTGGCATCTGCTCCGTGTGCCATTCCAAATCCCGGTATACCGGTAGGGATTTGTAGTTGGCAGCCGTTCTACAACGCGGCGGGCGAAGAGGAAGAATTAGACCGATACAGCGACGCTCACTACATACAAGTCCATGCTTAATCCAGTGTGAATACTCCTAAGCTTAGTCACTCACCATATTGATCATTATAGCTCAAATGAGAGGGGACTACTCTAATCCAGTCAAGTCTGAATGATGACTACTCTATACTAGGTAGCTAACGAACACAACTTCAAAGAATACTACTAACTAACCACCCCCACCCCATTATGAATCACCCACATCCTAATCACTGGAAGTGCCGTGCGATGACAGCGCGCAAACGCACAAGGGCCACTGAACCTTCGCTGGACCCTGTTGGCGGGGGCTAGGATTTGCTGGAAAGACATGGGAAGGGCTTGCTTAGTTCCCGTCTTCGCAGCTGCAATGCCAACGCATCACTTGGTCTGTGTGCGTGCGTGTGTGTGTCTGACCTTCTTTTGTTTGGTTTGCCCTGTCGTTGTCTCTTTCCTTCCCTCCCCCCCTTCTCCCTCATTTCCCCTCGATCAACATTCTCCTAAATGTTCTAAATAAGAAGAATGCCATGTCCTTGAATCGACAAGTGCCGATGTTCCAGTTATTGCAATGTGCCTGGCGCAGTGAAGTGCGCGACTGACGGCGCTCTCTACGTCTTTCCCTTCTATACTTGAATCAACCTTCTATACTTGGATCAAACCGAGGCGCATCACCAGATTCTACATCTCTTACGCACCACGCACATTCTCCACCTCAGATCTCTTTCTGGAGTTGGGGTGGGCCGGTCACCGCACCGGTCTTCTCGATCGATGGTCTGCTCTCTTCGATATGATGATAGATTACATGCAAGATATGCGGCAACAACTCCAAAGACTATCTCATTAACATAACATCCATGAAACAGAAAGCTTCGCTAGAATTCGAACAATGTGCCTGGCTCACAAAAAACGTTCACATCGTTACAACTAGGCCGCCAGCCGCGAACAACGGCTGCAGTCTACGATCTCCAATCTCGCGGACGAGATGAAGAATAGAAGGGCGATGAGGGTCCGATCACTCGCTCATTTTTCTCGGGGGCCATCCTTGGATCAGTCACCTCTACCGGCTGGCACGGGCGATTAACCAATGCAGAACTGCATCGAGGTTGGTTTCTTCTTTTGCGCTGATACCATAGCAGCTCACCTCCCGGTGGGTAATGGATTTCAGGTCCATCGCTTCGATCAGATCATCCACCGACAACTTATTGGGGAGGTCCGATTTATTCCCCAGCACGAGGAGGGGGATCCCATCGAGCGTGGACTTTTTCATCAGGTCATGCAGCTCTTCCGTCGCGACTGGCAGAGCGGCGCGATCTGCCGCATCCACAATGTAACTAAATGGTGGGAGTCAGTGACGTCCATCGCCTGACGTTGACGTCCAGGAGAGAAGGATGCTTTACACGATCGCATTAACGCCTCGACAATACCGCTCCCACATCGGTCGGAATCGCGGCTGGCCCCCCAGATCCCAGCTGCACTGAATATTAGCCGCAACACTGACGACTTATGCGATAGCTCGATACCAGATCAGGGCACCCACCACTTAAGAGTCACATGCCCTTTTTGGACACGCTTTGTGTTGAACCCAATGGTGGGGATCGAACTACCAGTGTGCATTAGCGATCGGCTGACTCTGCGCCATCTTTGAGCCAGGCCTGATGCGGTCGGACTTACTCTACAGTGAACTCGCCGCCCTGTGAATGTGATTAGCGATAGTTTCGGCTGGATCATGATGGCCAAGACATACCGCAAGAACACGCAACAAAGAAGACTTTCCTGCATTTTGGAGCCCAATCATGGTGACATCCATCTCCGTTGCCCTACAGAGGCATCATATACAAGTGATCTTAGCAAATCATCCTATGCCTTCTCGGCGGGGGACGGGCCGCAGGATGGAGGGACCATCTCCGGGGAGAAACCGATTTACTTAGTCGGGGAGGGGGGGCGGCGACGGCCCACTTACCAGAACATCCTCAAAAGCCAGTCATAGATCGTTCGAAAGATACCCGCCATATTGGTAGAGAGAAGTTGAGAAGGAAAAGTGGTGGTCGGAATTTGCTAAGAAGTTGTGTTGCGAAAAGAGCAAGTGGAAAACCGCAGCTTGGCTTGGCTGGTGGGCGATCGACAACCGGGGTGTGGGCGGTGATATCGAGTTTCCAAGGACACACGGACGTTGTGTACGGTGTGCTAAGGTGCTGGGACACCGTGGGGTGGGGATTGCCGTTCGAAGGGAGAGCCGCCTTGTTCCAACAAAAGAGGAGAAGAAAAGGAGTAGGACGGTAGAAGTCAGTCGCAGCGAGCAGAAGAACCGTAAGGATATGAAGACGAGAAGAGAACGGCGTAGAAGAGCAACAACCTGTGACCTGAAGATGCAAGTCGGGATTTCGCCAGACTGCGGCAGATTGTTGTTGTCGTATTATTATTGTTGTAGAGGGTCAAGGCTGGTGGGAAAAGAAGAAAGTCAAATTCACTAAGCACCGATAAAGGCGGCAAGTTTCCAAGTTTTCTGGACAAGCCTCAAGGCGGGTGTAGTGACAGAGGGAAGTAATAAGAATAATTTCTTCTTTTGAAGCCTTATTCTTTTTCCTTTCCCGCGTTGTGGTGAGACCGAGCAGCGTTGATGGATGGATCGATCTACTAAGTACGAGTATGTGCACGCATGACCGATCGCTCTTGCGCCTGCGCCGCCGCCGCCGCCGCCGCGGCTGGAGAAGAAGGAGGGAGGGTGAGGAAGGGAGGGAGGGGAGCGCCTACTAGTCAGTGCTCTCTCGCTCTCTCTCTCTCTAGTGCAGGCAGTACAGTACGTAGTAGTGAACTAAGGTAAGGTAGTCCTGGTCCTGCCCAGTCAGTCAGTCCCCTGTCAGGTCTGTGTCGGTGTCTGTGCCTGTGTCAAGTCTGTCAGAACTCTGCTCGAATGCTCAGAGTAGTATGACGGCCTATCTTCCAGTCGCAGCTTTTTTTTTTCTTTCATAAGAGTTGATCGGTGAAGATGAACGACATTCCGACTAACCATCTAAGTTACCTTAACTTTAAGCAGACTGATAAGTCTGCGATTAGTTAGTTAGTGAGGCCGGTCAGTGACTAAGAAGTAGCCAGCGTGGAAAATGTATCCAAAGGAATGACGGCGATTCCCGGGAGCATTTGTTAGCTAAGATCAAACAGATTAATAAAACAATGGCCGGTCACGCTGTTCGCTCATGTCGGCGACGGGCTTCTCGTACTCGGTATAATTGTCGCCAAAAGGACCAAGACTGACTGTACAGTACGAAGTCAGTCTCAAATCATCCCTTTGGCTTATCTCTCTGACTGTTCGAAAAACCCAGGAGACAAAATACTCCATCAGCGCAGGAACTGGGAACATCCAGCAGGCTGGCGTCCACTTAGACTCGACCTCGAATCGATAGTTCCATGCTAAAAGCACGACCATCAATGACGAGGGAGGATGGGTCCGCCGCCGCCATTGATTGTGGATTGATTGATTGGCATTGATTGATTGTCTGGCTATGAAGAGGCCCCGCCCGGGTCCGGCAGGCTCTTTGCCTTGTTGCCTAAGGTGGTAAGGCGGAACTTCTGTCCCGTGCGTTAGTCCCGTGATGCGAATGGCGGTCTGCATTTTCTGCCAGCACTTTCTGCCCTTCCCCTCAGTCCCGTGATCTCTGCCTCAGGCCACCAAGTATCTACCTGCACGGCTATCAGCACGTGATGATATCTGTCCGTCGGGTCCACCTCGAAAAATTTCCCCGTCGGTCGAGGATGAGGCTTCGTCCGTTCCTCAGACTGAACTTGGGGTCTCACTCCAGTCTTCTGGGTATTATCAAAGAGCGCTTCTACTGCGCCAGACGCTTCTCTCACCATGGCTCCCACAGCGGCGACAGACACCAATTGGTCTGTCAACTACGATACCCTGAAGCGGGAGAAGCTCTTCAGGAACCCTCCCACCGACCATACCGCATACCCAGCGTTGGCCGCCTCCATCCGGCCGCACGTCGATTCTTTCAATGCGCTCTTCGACGGTCCCAAGACCCTGGAAGAGGCCCTGAAGGACATTGGCACCAAGACTTTCCTCGACGGCGATGCTGAAACACCCGAACAGAAGAAGGCTCGCATTGCGGAGGGCCGCAAGGCTCCGAGACGCAACCGGCTCAACGTTCGGATCAGTGAAGTTTTTCTCGAGAAGCCCGCACTGCCCCCTACCAACAAGTTCGCGACTCGCAACCGCAATATCTATCCCTCGGAATGCCGTGAGAGACACGCGACGTATCGCGGGAAGCTGCGCGCTCGCATCGAGTGGCAGGTCAACAATGGCGATTGGATGGAGTCGGTCCGAGAATTGGGCCAGGTCCCCATTATGCTGAGGGTAAGTTGACGACGAGCTGGACTTTGTCTGTCTGTCCGGTGACGGTCCGCAGTTACTGACCACGCTGGCAGACCAACCGGTGCCATCTCGAGAAGGCGACCCCTCATGAACTCGTCGAGCACAAGGAAGAATCGGAGGAGCTGGGTGGTTATTTCATTGTCAACGGAAACGAGAAGCTCATTCGAATGCTGGTGGTCGGAAAGCGAAACTACCCCATGGCGATCATCCGTGGTTCCTTCGTCAAGCGTGGCCACACATACACCAAATACGGTATCCAGATCCGGTCCGTAAGGCCAGATCAGACATCGCAAACGAACTCTCTACACTACTTGACCGACGGCAACCTGACCTTCCGTTTCTCCTGGAGAAAGAACGAGTACCTCATCCCGGTGATGATGATCCTCAAGGCCTTGGTAGAGACGAACGATCGCGAGATCTTCGAGGGAATCGTGGGCGGCGCCTCGTCTGAGGGCATCAAGAACACATTCATCACGGATCGTGTGGAGTTGCTGCTTCGGACATACAAGGCATACAACAAGCACAGCCGCTCGGCCTGCCGATCATATCTCGGAGAGAAGTTCAAACCTGTTCTTGGAGTCGCGGCCGACATGTCCAACGAAGATGCTGGTACCGAGTTCCTCCGCAAAGTTGTCCTCCCCCACCTGGGCTGCCACAACGTCACCGAAACCCAGGATTACGACAAGTTCAAGATGATCCTGTTCATGATTCGAAAGCTCTATGCATTGGTTGCCGGAGATTGCGCTCCGGACAATCCGGATGCGGTCTCCAACCAAGAAATCCTTCTTGGTGGTTTCCTCTACGGAATGCTTCTCAAGGAAAGGCTCGAGGAATGGGTGAGGTCTTTCAGCCCAATTCTCAGGGACTGGTCCAACCGCAACAGCGGAGCCAAGTTCACCGATTCCGCATTCGAGAGGGACTTCCTCAGCAAGGTTGTGAAGCGGTCCAACGAGAACATCGGAGGAGCTCTTGAATATTTCCTTTCCACCGGTAACCTGGTCAGTCCCACTGGTCTTGATTTACAGCAGGCATCCGGTTACACTGTCATGGCAGAAAAGATCAACTTCTACCGGTTCATCAGTCACTTCCGCATGATTCACAGAGGTAGCTTCTTCGCACAGCTCAAGACCACCACGGTCCGTAAGCTGTTGCCTGAGAGTTGGGGTTTCTTCTGCCCTGTACACACTCCTGATGGAGCTCCTTGTGGTCTGCTTAACCATCTTGCGCACAAGTGCTTGATCGCCACTAGTGACGTTGATGTATCAAAGATTCCCAAGGTACTGGTGCAGTTGGGTGTTCGTTCTGAGTCGTCTGTTTCTGTGGAGGAGAGCGTGACTGTCCAGCTGGACGGACGCGTTATTGGATACTGCTCCCCCAAGCAGGCCGGCGCAATTGCCAACACGCTAAGACGCTGGAAGGTGGCAGGAGACGACCGTATCCCTCTCGAGCTGGAGATCGGCTACGTCCCCAACTCCAATGGCGGTCAGTATCCTGGTATCTACATGTTCTCGCAAGCCGCCAGAATGTTCAGACCCGTCAAGTACCTGCCCCTGGGCAAGCTCGACTACGTCGGCCCATTCGAGCAGCCCTTCATGGAGATTGCCTGCATGCCCAACGATCTTATCTCGGGTGTCTCCACTCACATCGAGTTCACTCCCACGAACATGTTCTCCATTGTCGCCAATATGACGCCATTCTCCGATCAGAACCAATCCCCTCGTAACATGTACCAGTGTCAGATGAGCAAACAGACAATGGGTACGCCTGGTACTGCGATCGATTACCGCACCGACAACAAGCTGTATCGGTTGCAGACAGGTCAGACCCCGATCGTGCGGTCGCCGCTCTACAACGCCTACGGTCTGGACAACTTCCCCAACGGTACGAACGCTATTGTTGCTATTATCTCCTACACCGGTTACGACATGGACGACGCTATGATCATCAACAAATCCTCTCACGAACGTGGTTTCGGTCACGGTACGATCTACAAGACCAAGGTCCATGGCCTTGACGACAACGACTCCCGCCGGGGCAAGTCTCGCCGTGAGATCACCAAGCTCTTCGGTTTTGCCCCCGGTGACCAGATCAAGGCCGAGTGGCGTGCCACCCTCGATGAAGACGGTCTGCCTCACATTGGCGCCCGAGTCAAGGAAGGCAGCTATGTTGCGGCGTGGCACAACGTGCGGTATGACGCCGCCAGCGACTCGTACGTGAACGTGGATGGCGTCACCCACTTCGTGAAGTACAAGGACGCGGAAGAAGGATACATCGACAGCCTGCGCATCCTGGGAGCCGAATCCGGTGTCGAGCCCTGCCAATCGATCAGCGTCAAGTACCGCATTCCCCGTAAGCCGATCATCGGTGACAAGTTCTCCTCTCGTCACGGACAGAAGGGTGTTTGCTCGCAGCTCTGGCCCGCGGTGGACATGCCCTTCTCCGAAAGTGGCATCCAGCCCGACCTGATCATCAACCCTCACGCTTTCCCTTCCCGTAAGCTCTTCCCCCGTCCCTCTTCCCCTAACCTCTTACACCCCTTCCTCAACATTCATCTAACCGCTCTTTCCAAACAGGTATGACAATCGCCCAGATGGTCGAATCCATGGCCGGTAAGGCCGGTGCCCTCCACGGCCACCCGCAAGACTGCACGCCGTTCCAGTTCTCCGAGGAGAACACGGCGGTGGACTACTTCGGGCAGCAGCTCCGCAAGGCCGGATACAACTACTTCGGCAACGAGCCCCTGTACAGCGGGATCACGGGCAAGGAGTTCGCGGCGGACATCTTCATCGGCGTGGTCCACTACCAGCGTCTGCGTCACATGGTCAACGACAAGTTCCAGGTCCGCACCACGGGCCCCGTCAACAACCTGACCGGCCAGCCCGTCAAGGGCCGTGCCAAGGGCGGTGGTATCCGTGTCGGCGAGATGGAGCGCGACTCGCTGATCGCCCACGGCGCCGCCTTCCTCCTGCAGGACCGTCTCATGAACTGCTCCGACTCCACCCGCTCCTGGATCTGCCGCGACTGCGGCTCCTTCCTCTCCACCCAGGTCGTCGCCTCCGCCGCCGGCTCCAGCAAGGCCCGCATCGCCGCCGCCAAGGCCGCTTCCTCCCAGTCCGCCAGCAGCAACAAAGACCACCACGGCCCCAGCGGCCTGTCCGGCCTCGTCCGCTGCCGTCGCTGCGCCCGCGAGGCCGTCTTCGATGACTCCCGCGCCGTCGTCTGGGAGGACGGGGACGGCCGTCGCTACGTCGGCGGCGATAACGTCACCGTCGTCGCCGTGCCGGGTGTGCTGCGGTACCTGGACGTCGAACTCGCTGCCATGGGTATCCGGATGAAATTCCGGGTGGATAACTAGGTCGCCAGCCGCCAGCCGCCGGCCCCCGCTAGGACAGAATGTGTCTTTTTTAAATCCCTCCTACAAAAAAAAAGCATTGATTGTCGTATTTTGTTTTTCCTTTTTTTTTGTCATAGGTGGGCGTATTTCAGCAACTTTTTTAATTTTCTGCTTAGTTCTTGGAGACGAACGTTTGTATGCTACTTCACCACACTCACACATATGGTATGGATCTGTTATGTAGTGCATGTTGCTGTGAATAAGATTTTTTCTTTTTTTTCCATTCTGTTTCAACTGCTATGGTTGGGTGTGACATACGGGCTAGTCGCTATCTAGTAGGTACCTAATCACTATCATGGGTGTCGTCGGTGCATGTCTGTCTGTTACGCTATTCGTCTCCAGGCTATCATCTTCTCTCTGGAAAAGTACACACCCTAGCCGGCAAACCTGCTACCCTACGCCAGTTTGGGAATAACTACGGTTTCACTGCCATACCCAGAACTCAGGAAAGCAAACCGACAGAAGTATCAAAGTTTGATCATTTCATAAAGTTATCCACACCCCATACGAAAGACCGGAAAAAAACTACCACTCAAGAGCGCGGGGGGTTTGGTAAACCTGCCTAGAGAGCCTAGAATCTATCTACTAGGTAGCCAGCCACCGACCCATCCTGTTCTATAGACCGAGCTACAACTCCGACGTGACGTTCGAGAACTCGCCCTTCTCCAGCTTCGTCTTCCAGAATATGGGGTTCATATCGTTGAAGCCGTGGTGGACCCAGCCTTCCTCCTTGACGTGGTACAGGTTGATGAAGCCACCGGAGTAGGCGTCGCGGTGCATGGCGGCCAGGATACTGCGGCGGCCGAGCTCGAGGGCCTCCTGCTCGGTCAGGTCGTACCGGTAGTTGGCGTCCAGCACGCCGTAGGCGAAGGTCTGGCCGGAGCCGACGCAGAAGAGGTTGCCGGCCAGCCGGGTGCCGTCGGAGTCGATGTAGTAGAGGGCGGGGCCTTCTTGCGGGGTCATCTGTATTCGGTCCAAAAGTGTTAGAGCATGATCCCATGGGTTCAAGGGATATGAATGGGGCCAAGGAGGGCCGGAGGGGGATGATGGGCTAAAACGTACGCCTGCTAACATCGTTCCCATGCTCAGACCCATCCCCTTGTACGCGTATGTTAGGTTGGCGAGGATTTTCGAGGCCGCGGCGACGGTGATACGGCGCTTGTGTCGGATTTCTATGCAACCCGAAAGGTTAGTGGTTGTGCCTCCGAGAAAGAGGGGGGGGGGGGGAAACCTACCGTGAAGTGTGCATTGCTGGCTCAGATATCTCAACCAATATTGACAATCCTGGGCGGCAAGCGCATGCCGTCAGCATTTTGCACTGCAAAAAAAAAGTCTCGCAAACCGGGCAGCACATACAGCAGCACCACCAGCCATGGTCCCCAGCAGACCCGGAGTCGGCTCGTTCGTCGGCTTATCTTCGCCGCGACTCAACCGCGAAACAGGGATAACCTTCTTCACTGTCTGACTGGCGATCCAGTTTCCAGCCGTGGCTCTGGAATCGGTCGCGACGATCTTATTGCAGAAACAAATCCGTCAGTTATCATTCTCTCGAGGCAAAGGATGTGGAAACTGGTGGAGAATGACCGCATACAATTCCGCCCTGGAACCGGAAAGCCAGCGTCGTCGTTCCGTGGGCAAGTTTGATGGGGCAGCTGGGGTTCGAGTGGTCATCGGTCATGGCACGGAGGAAGGCTCTGGACTGGATTCTGGGGTTAGCTGGTCGATCGTGGACTTCGTGAGAGGGGGGACAATTCATAGTGTCTAGTCGGGCGGCGACAGCGGCGGCGGCGTCGACTCCGAACATAGTCCGTATCGACGTCCACCAAGAGAGGGAGGCCCAAGTAGCACGCGGAGTCTGATGGCACAGTGCTCACATTATCGACGGGAGGAAGGCTGAACTTCAAGGACAGAGGTGGAAGGCTCTCGGTGAGATCACGCTGTTCTTGCTCGGAGTAGAACTCATTCTGGTGCGGCGCCCGCGTGTATTGGGCGACCAATTTATCCATGATGTGCGAGGGATGGTTATTGGGTTCGAAATGAATGGCAAGACGGGTGGTGAGGAAGAAAGGACACGGCAAATGGCGGAGGGAGGATGGAGAAGTATGAGATGGGAGATGGCAGATGCAGCTCGGGAGCTCTGATGATTGATGATGCTGGGGGTGGAAGCTCCAATCCCTCCGTCCGCGTCACGCTGGTCGCCTGGATCACGTGCTGTCTACCGTCTAGTTAACTGATCCACAGCAATTATGTGCTACTTCCTACTTGAATCTATTAAAACTTACTGGTCTTTTCACAAACGCAAGGTCAATAATCGCATTGCTACTTGTACAGAATCAAACTAACGGAGCAAACTCAATCTATGTTTACATTTTTCATCTTCTTGTTCGCTGATCCGACCTAAACCGTCATTCTCATAGTAACAGAACTTAAGACATGCAAGAGACCCAAAATCCAAACCGAACATGAACAGGTAAGAATCAAATCGGAACGGCAACTGGATGCGCAGGAATAGGGCTCGATACATAGGGAACCTCAGAGCCACGAGAGATATGCGCCGACTGCAGGTCCTCTGATGTCCGCGGCAGCTCTTCGCTGGTCTTGCCAACGGGTTCGGAAACAACCCCGTTAGCCGTCTGTCCCTGGACTTCCTCACTAGTGTACTTCTCTGGAGCAGGAATACTGCTGGACTGCGCTTCGGTTCCACTAATGACGGCTGGGTCTTGAGCTGTACCGGTGGTATAGCGTTCTTCAGCAGCATTGGTAGTTGCGGGCTCCGGGGCGGAGGTGTCAGCATACAGCTCAGAGCCGGCGCCGTCGATGTAGCGGTCATGATCCGTTCCATTAGCATACGTATCCCGATGGGCTGCATCAGGATATGCCTCAGTACCGTGACCGTTCGCATACGGCTCGGCGGGGGTCTCGCGAGCATATCCATTTGCCCCAGTGTCGTTGCCGTTAGCATACGGCTCGGCGGGGGTATCACGGGCATATCCGTTCGCCCCAGTTCCTTGGGCATACGACCCCTCTGCGGAACCGTTCACGTCTCGCACGGAGTCCGAGGCAGTTGTTTCAACTGCATAAGCTCCTTGCGAGTCACGCACGCCACGACCGGACCGTGGCAAAAGGGTGCTGTCCAGGGCGTCCCCGGCTGAAGTATGAATGGGCTCTGCGCTGCTCTCCCACGCGCGAAGTTCATTCTCAGCATCCTCAATGACCTGTCTTGTGGCCGAAATCTGGTCATACTCCCGAGGGGAGTCTCCCGGGACGACCGGAGTGTCATCTAGATGGTTGAGCAACCGGCGTGCGTGACGGGCTAGCAGGATCTGCTTTTCTCCGCGCTCGATAACCGCCGCCAGGTGTATATCGTACGCCTCCTTGAACTTCGACCGAGTCTATACACCTCACAGTCAATATCTCTCAGCCCTTCATTTGAAAGGAAGTTTCGGAAAACATACCACATTAGTCAACTGCGCCTCAGCCACCAGACTCTGCGCCTCGGCCCGAACGAGCTCCTGCTCCAGGATATCGATCCGGTTGCTCTGCGGCTCCTTCCACTTGAGCTTCTGGATCTCGTCGGCGATCTTGGCGCGCTGGTCGCGCGACGGCTGCACCGAGTTCTCGGTGTCCCGGATGTGCTTCAGGACCACGCGCGACTCCTCGAGGTACTGGGCGAAGTTGTCCTCCTGCTCGCCCATCTCCGCCATCAGGACGGCGAGCTTGTCCGTGATGTCCGAGACGGCGTCGTCCTCCGTCCACTCGCCCCAGTCGGACAGCTGGTTGGCGATGGAGACGCGCTCCCGGCCGGCCTTCTCGTGGGCGCCGATGGCCGCGTTCTCGTTCTTGATGAGCTGGTTGAGTCGCCGGCTGGTCTCGGGCTGCTGGTGGCCGCGCAGGGTCGAGAAGCTGAACCGGGTCCGGTTGGGCGCGGAGTTCCTCCGGCCCCGGATGGACATGTTGCGGTGCCTGAGCGAGGTAGCGGTCAGCCGCGCGAAAAGTCTACATGCATCGAGAGTGCTCGAAGGGCTGGCTTGCGTACATGATTGCCATGATACTATTCAGTGTCGTTACTTGTTTTTTGAGGGACCATACAGTTAAGAGAAGAGGTTGTACTGGAGAGCGTAGTGGTCGGATGCTTGGAAGCAGGAAACAGGGACGAAATGATGTTCGAGATAAGATCGCTCCTTCCCTGGACGTACAGATTTACTTGTTTGTTTGAAAGAGGTAGTAAGCACTCAATGTGAGCAAGGCAGTCAGTTGCAGATTGTTCGAGGTAGAGTAGAGTAAAGTAGAGTAGTATTGTGTCGAGATCTGAAACACGGGATTCAGATAGATAATGTCACAGATCGATCAGCGGTGGAGTTTTAAGACCGACGAACCTCGCCGGGGAAGTGGTTCATGCGGTGGGCACTTCTTGTGAGTGATGTGATTGTCTCGATGGCGTATGTACGAGAGTCCAATGCAGTGACGTCATGCGGGCATGGACGGATGCTGTAGGCTGTGAGCTGTTGAAGTCATTGTCCGCTTGCAGAATCTCTCGATCCCATGGGTGGGATGGAGTTTAATCTCCTTCGGTGATCGGGGCAGTGGAGGGAATCATGTGCTTGTAGAACTAAAGCTCAAACCGACTAAGTATACCATCAGACAAAAAACAACAACCCCCAATGCGACACTTGAAACAACACCCCAGAGATAAGCACAAACCAAAGCAGAACCACAGCACGCATACACACAGTCTGGCCATATCCTCAGCAATCACAAAACACAGCGAGGCCCAAGCCCCCCCGGTCTAACACCGAGCAGGAATATACTCCACCTCAACCTCGCATTCTCTCTCCCTCTCCACCTCCAATTCCCAAACCCGCCCACAACGCCCCCATCCACCCACCACAAGACACTCCTCCGGCTCCACGATCTCAATGCACTCCACCGCCCTCGCCCTCGCCGGGATATACCGGTACGCACGACGCACATCCACCCACGCCGGCCGCGGCCGTTCCACCTGGATGGGGATCAGGGATTCTTCGATGGTCTGGCACCGAGACCGGCTTCTGCGGACGGTCGTGTAGGAGGGAGCAGCAGGAGCGGCCGCAGGACGACGACATCGCGGGGAGTAGCACCGCGGTGGGGGGCGGATGGGACTGCTGCTGCTACTGCTGCTGCTACTGTGTCCGTGACGAGAGCGGCTGCGGCTGCGGCTTCGGTAATCCCTGAAACAGACGCTGCAGGTTTCCTCGGTGCATTCCGTGAAGCACATCGCGTCACGTTCGCGTTGCTGTATACATATACGTATACCGTCGACTTTAGTATCGTATGGCGTATAGCGTATGGAAAGCGCACGGCGGCTAGGAATGAGGGTGTAGATCTAGATGTGGTAGCAAGAGCAAGAGCGGTAATTTGCGGTTGTGCTTGCTCAGGCTACGCTGAAACTCTAGAACTGGTGGATTTGCTCGACCTTATGCACCACTCCAACAGATCAGCCTCGGGACTCTTATACCCAGGCTAGGGCACAGGAATACCTAGGAACCTCAAATTTGGGGGACTGGGTGTGTTTCAGATTCGGTGGCACAGCCCGCACACTGGGGTGCAGTTTCCCTGGATATCATTTCTCTTAAAGACAGACCTTAACTTCTCAAAGATCGTTTGGAGGGGGGGTCCTGAGTGAGAGTTGGGACGTTTGGTGTGTTCTGCGTCCTCGGGGAATGGGATCACTTGACCCGCGCACCTGCGGGTGATCGGGCCCGGTGATGGGGGATGAGGTTCTCAACTTTTAGGCTTGAAGTTCGGGGGAGTAATATGATATTCAGAGGGGGTGTTCGTTCCTCTGACTTTTGAGGTATGACTGATACGGAGAATCGAATTGAGGGTCAGTGGCTGGTGATGTGGCGATGTGACGGACTGGTCTGCTGTAACCTAATATTGGAGGCGTGGGTGTGCCTTGAGGTGGAAATAACTACCTCTCCGGGAGTAGCACGAGGGCTGCTTTTCTACTCGACGAATCTCTGGCAGTCTGCTGATGATGTGAGAATCCGGAATGGCTGTTGAGGTGGGATACCATAGTAGTACTATCCAGGGATACCAGAGACCAGTCTTAATTTCTGTAGAGCACCGGGGAGATCATTTAGATCATGAATATGAAAAGGATTATAAGTAGATTTGAAACCCTGTCACCTTATTGATTCGGATCCAGGAGACAACAGCAACGGCATATCCCTATCTCTACACCGGTCTCCACCTCGACCTATACGTGACAGCGCTTGGAAGGCCGGAAGACGACCACAAGAAACAAATTTAGCGCCAGACCAAGCGGTTAAATACCATACCAACAACACCGCACCGATTCATTACAAGACATCTAGAACTATCCCGAAACACCCAGGTCGGCAGCCGACTCTCTTAGGACATGTCGTCGGCATCGTGATGGTGGGTATTTTCATTATCCGACGCATGGAAAGCGTCTCCGAAGGCGGAGTTCTCCAGGTCGGGAAGATCAAGCCCATCATTCTGCTCGGTGTATGCGGCGAGTGCGTCGCCAGCGCTGTCCATGTTGGTAAAGTCGAAGTTGGCCCCGTCCAGACCATTGTCCCCGGAACTGCCTGCGTTGCCGGGGGTTAATCCTTGGAGGCCGCTGCCCGGAGTATCGACGCCAGGTAAAGAGCTTTCGCCAGGTACAGTCTGGTCCTTCTTCTCTTCGTTGACCATCACCCAGTCTCCAGTCTCCCCAGCGGCACTCGCAGGTTGCTGGTCGCCCATATCCATTTCGATGTCCAAAGAGGTTGAGGGGCCCTGCTGAGGGACGTGCGCTGCCGGTTGAGGCTGTTGTGGGACTGCCCCACCCGCTCCAGGTGCGCCGGCCGGGTTAGGAACATGTGTTGGCCCAGTCTGGCCGGCATCCTGCATTGTTGACGAGACACCTGGAGCTGTTCCCGGTGAGCCCAGCTGATCCAAAAAGTGGCTGTCGGCATTTTCCATATCAATGTCCCCCTCAGGTTGAGACTCGGGCTTCTGCTCCGGTTCGATTTTCTCGAGCAGACCACCTTTCTGCACACAAGAGACTCGAGGCTCCGGCACAATCTGCCTCTGCCACACTTTCTCCACGTCCCGCACAATATCGTCAACTTTGTACTTGGCCGGGTTCTCAATGTGAGCCGCCTGCGAGTCATCCTCTTCCGAGGGAAGCACCAGGCGACCTTCCAATCTCCATGGCTCCGAGCCTGTCTCTGCGGGATCCGCTGCGGCTTCCCGGAGACGGAGTTCTGCGTCCTTGAGGAGAGATGTGCGGTTGAACTTCTCCATTCGACGTGCGTGGCGCTTTTTTAGCTTCTCGATCTCCGCCGTCATATCCGCGACCTTCTTAGCAACCCGATCAGCGAACTCCTCGGCCTTGGCGGGTTCCAACTTCTCAGCCTGCGAGGTGGCGGTGGCATCTTTTGTTTCTCCGTTGGTAGGTCCGACCGGTGCATCAAAGAAGCCGGCCGTCAATGATTCGAGTGCACCTTTCCGGCCTAGGCCCAGAGAGACGGGCGTGATCTGACTGATGGCATAAGGCGAAGCGAATATCTCCTCCATCCACTCATGATGTTGCGTGTAGCGCACTTTACTGATCTCGCGAGGTGTGAGGAGATCCATGATGTCCCCAGTCGAGACGTCTTCATCCTCCAGGGCAAAATCTGTGGTGGCAGCGTTCACCGCGGTGGAAGAAGCACGATGCCCGCGGGGGGCCTTGGCCGGCGGGGCAGCGGCGGGAGGCGGCACGCCTGGTCCGGGTGGAGGGTAGAATGGCTGACGTCCGACGATAGCACTCGGGTAAGCTCCAGGCATCTGCGGGAAGCCCTGGGGCGCCATGTGTGGGGGGAAGTTGATGGCGGGCCAGTTGTTCCGATCGTGCAGCATGAAGTCCTTGCGGGCAAGCTGGCCTTGGCTCTGCAAGAAGCGCCGCTGAGCTAGCATGTTCTGCACCTGAGGTATGACGGGAATCCGGCTCGCAGGAATGTGGTCTTGAGGAGGTGCTCTCGTGTAGTGGACGATCCACAAGGCGGGATCGGGGTTGGGCAGGTTGGGGTTGGGAACCTTCGGAGGCAGCAGACGATACCGGCGACGGCAATGCATCGCCATGGATTCGTTCGGAGGGTGATATCCGCTACGGTGTAGCCACATCTCGACTGTCTGTTGTGTTCTTATGTTAGTGATCAATATGTCTGCGCGCAGGGCAGCTCTGGATGGGGAGTGATGTTGACGTACATAGCCACGAGCATCAAAGGTGAAGGCCTGTTCGACATCGGCCCAAACATATCCATCACTAGCGAAATTGGTTCCGAGTTGGTTGAGTGGCTGCCATGTAAGCATAACCGACCCATCTTGAGGCGCATCGAGGAAGGTCCAGTGCATTGGTTGCTGTTCGCGCACGACCTTGGCTGCGCCGAGCAGGTATTCGACAACAGTGTCTGTAGGCATCATATGCATCAATGGATAGCGTTGCCGCGACACCAGATGCATGTGCGGCAGCTGGAGTGGTCAACATGGTGTCGGGTTAGTGCTCAAGCTCCATACTGATTCACTGCATTCGAAGGATTAACGTAACGTACCAGCTGCGCGGGAACACGGGTCGCCGGGTCGTCCATGTTGACTGAGCAGCCTCGATGGCGGAGGATCGCAGGCACTAAGTCTGTCGCAAAATGATGGGAGTGGGGGGTATTGAACAGTTCAGACACAGAAGATTGAGAAGCGAGAAGGCCTGTCAGCGATCACGCAGCGACGTATACTGAGCGAAGACACCGAATCCTTAACGCGACGCGGAAATTTGAGGTTCCTCAGCAATTCAGTTGGTTGCGGTACGGGAGTCCATAGAGTCCTCAAGCACACTCTGACGCCTGAATCCCCAGGCATCAAGTAAATACCCGATCAGGACTAGTGTCGGGGTCGGAGCGCTTTTACTCTTTCCAGCTGGAGATCGTCTCATTCCCCGCAATGTGGACGGACTGCTTGAAGAAGGTTTCCTGATCTACATACAATCCATACATCCTCGACTCGCTTACCCACCCCCCCCCCAAATGACTCGCACGGGCTGTTCTTTGCTTTACCTTTTACGGGTGCTTTGACAAACGAGTCTCTTTCGATCTCCTGGCCAAACGTGCATCCGTCACTGTATACTTGTTAATGCTGGGAGAAGCATGCATCAGAATGCGCAAGGGGGATGAAACAAATCAGACCGGGATATCCAGCCTCTTTCACCTCGGCTATCATCCAATGCTATCACTCAGTCTCTGACCAAGCCTTGCGCCCGCTCGGATGGTTTGATCTCAAGCTTTGGCCCGCCACCCATGAACCGATGGGTTTGTCTCCGCATACTCCCTAATCGGGTGTGCGAAAGCATGTCATCATATCCCCGAGGAGCGAGCCCCATGCGTCCATTCTGCCAATTTCCTGCACATTCAGTATGGTGTATCTTTCACTCTCTCGGATGATTGGGTGTGAGCTCTGTCCCACGTATCACACACAGCTCCCTTAGAAAGTGACCTCAATCCGCTCGGCATGACACTCCACTCATCGACTACACCCCCTCCCTCGTTTCCTCAAATTTTCACGTCACCCCTCGCTAGCTCGACGTCTAAACTGTGTGGTCTGGGGGAAACTCGCAGGTCAGGCTGGTAGCCTTTTGTCCAATCGTCTAAATCCGTGCCAAACCATAAACAGCGTAGAGGCTTTGGTGCGGACGCGTTCATAAAGCAGTGTGCTCCCCTCTCCACAACATAGAAGTCACCATTACACCTCTGTTGCTATCATCAATCTTCTGTCACTCCGCATCGCGACACTTCAAAGTCGACCATGGGGCTGTTCGGGAAGAAAGTCACCCCAAGCAGTCCTGCTGAGGATGTCGACGCCATTGTCGAGGCTCCGAGTCACGATGCGGAAAAGCAGCAGCCCATGCACAAGGAAGAAACCCACACCGCGCTCCCGCAGATGCCTCAAACTACAATGTCGATAGATCCTGCATTGGAAGCTCGAGTGCTGAGAAAGTTGGACCTCAGAGTTCCGACCTTGCTAGGGTTTCTTTGTATGCTGCGTCCTGCCTAATTCATCTCCTGCACGATTGCACATGATTCCTTCTCAGATCAGTACACTCGATTCCTTATCTGACTTGACGGCTTCGCACAGATCTCTTATCGCTGCTCGACAGGAGCAACATCGGGTAGGCTTGAACGCACAATATACATTAATCTCCATTGGGCTAATGAGCAAGCAGGAATGCCAAAATTGCGGGAATGGAAGAGGATCTCAACCTCACGGGAAATCGATACTCATGGCTCCTGACAATCTTCTACATTTCGTATACTCTTTTTGAGTTCCTGGCGCTGATGTGGAAGATAATGCCTCCGCACAGATGGGCAGCTATTACCGTCCTGAGTTGGTACGTTCAGACTCGACTTATACCTCCCATGTCTTGAGTCGGAGCCTTATGCTGTATAGGGGTATTGTGGCAACTTGTCAGGCGGCAGTGCAGAATTGGGGAGGATTGATGGCCCTGCGGTTTCTGTTGGGCATGTCGGAAGCTGCCTTCGGCCCAGGAAGTCCATACCTGCTATCATTCTTTTATCGGCGCCATGAGTTAGGACTTCGATGCGGCATGTTTTTGTCGGCAGCCCCTTTGGCAAACACCTTTGCAGGCGCTCTCGCTTATGCTATCACCTCCGGCCATGCTAAGATAGCGAATTGGCGGCTGTTGTTCCTGGTGGAAGGGAGCCCGTCACTCTTGGCGGCCATTCTGGCTTGGTTTTACCTGCCAGATCACCCGTCGTCCGCACGTTTCCTGACCGAAGAAGAGAAAGAAGTCACACGGGCCAGATCGCTTCGACGGAGTGGTGAGAGCGAGCGAGTTAGTGGGATCGACTGGAAAGAATTAGGCCATACTTTGCTGGATGCGAAGGCGTGGATCTTGGCAGTATGTTCCCAGACCAGCCGCCTTCGCCTGCGGTGTATGCTGACAACAATTTTAGTTCATGTACTTCAGCTGCAACGTGAGCTTCTCATCATTGCCCGTTTTTTTGCCGACGATCCTGGAAGATATGGGGTTTACCTCCATCAACGCTCAGGGGCTGACGGCACCGCCATTCTTTGCGTCCTTCCTCGTCACGATCGCTACGACATGGGTTGCTGATCGGATTCAGCAGCGGGGCCTGGTGATTGCTTGTGCCTCTCTAGTCGGTGCTGTTGGCTACGTATTACTTGCGGCTTGCAACTCTGTTGGCGTTCGCTACCTTGGCGTGTTCCTTGCTGCTATCGGGGTGTTCCCGTCTATCGCCAACATTCTTCCCTGGGCTCTGAGTAGGTCAACTGCCCTAGCAAGTGATGATACACGCACTAATATGGCTTTTATAGACAACCAAGGCTCGGATAGCCGACGAGGCATGGGCATTGTCATTCTGAACGTCATCGGCCAGTGTGGTCCCTTTTTGGGGACCAATGTTTTCCCATCCAGCGATTCACCTCGCTACACTCGCGGGTTGTCTATCTGCGCCGCTTTCATGTTTTTCAACACGATTCTTGCACTGTCTTTGCGAGTTCTCCTGGCCTGGGAGAATCGCCGTTTGGATCAGCGGTATGGTGCAGTGGCGGAATGGACAGCTGGGGCCAAGGATAATACGGCTGTGGGGGAGGAGAATTATGGGGCGGGCTTCCGATATGTGTTGTAGGTTGTGGTGTTTTTTAGCGTGTTTGGTCTATTGCTATTTGTTGCGATAAGTCATGCTCTTTGGCGAACTAGAAGTATGCTGAGCCTAGATTGGAAAGCAATTGCATGGTGTTGAGATTATTGGTGAAACTGAATGTACTAGGGCATGTTTGCGGTGATCACCGGGGGGGGGTTAGTAGTGTACTTCAAGATTGTAGACTCCACCTCAGCGGGGATATATCTTGGCTACGTCAACCCAATCGTCAACACAACACCAGCATCTCGCAACCTCGCTTCTGTTACCTTCATTTTATTACCCCCCTTTAAGCCGTACTGCTGACAGCATAGTCGACTACATTACCACCTTTTGCCCTGCGCTAGCAGCCTCACAACCAAGCTAGCCACACACACACCAAAACCATGCGCCTAAGGTCTTGACCACCGCAGCACTTACCGTTTTACCGTGTTGACCTCACTCACATTTGAGAACCTCATTCCACTCCGGTGCCCACTGAGCCCCAGAAACCGATCCCAGCATGACCGAACCAACAACCACGAACCCGAATCTCTACGGGATTGTGGATATGGGAAGGTGAGTCAGTCAGTCCCCCACACAACCCATCAACTACATAACACCCTCGATACCCCCTCAAACCAAAAGCACTAAACCTCCCAAACCCACAGCAACGGCATCCGCTTCTCAATCACCGACCTCTCCCCCCCCACCGCCCGCCTCCTGCCCACCGTCTACCAATCCCGCGCCGCAATTTCTCTCTACGATGCCCAATTCTCCCCGCAGACAGAAACAGAAACGCGAACGCGAACGCAAACGCGGGGCCCGATCCCGGACACAACCATCGCCCAAGTCCTCGACCACCTGCGCCACTTCCAATCCACATGCAGCGACTTCGGGGTGAGGGCGACCAACATCCACGTGCTGGCGACGGAGGCGACGCGGACGGCGCCGAACGCGGCGGCGTTCTGTGGTGCGATCCGCGCGCACACCGGCTGGGAGGTGCGGCTGCTGACCAAGGAGGAGGAAGGGCGGATTGGCGCCTTGGGGGTCGCGAGCTCTTCGGCGAGGGTGGCCGGGATCGCCATGGATTTGGGCGGCGGGAGTACCCAGATTACGTGGGTTGTGGAGGAGGACGGTGGGGCAGTGCGGACGAGTCCTCGGGGCGCGTTCAGTTTTCCGTACGGCGCGGCGGCGTTGGGTCGGTTGCTTCGGGAGGCTGAGGCTGAGGCTGATACCAAGTCGAGCGATGATGGAACGACGGCGTTGGGGGCGCTCAAGGCCGAGATGACCCGCCAGTTCCAGACGGCGTATCGCGAGCTCGAGGTGCCAGATTCCCTTTTGCTCGGGACCCAGGGGGAAGGAGGCTGCCAACGCAGTCTATATCTCTGCGGCGGCGGGTTCCGCGGCTGGGGGTACGTGCTCATGAAGACGTACTCCGACAAACAGAGCGAGGGCGAGGGCGAGGCGTACCCGATCCCCATCATCAACGGGTTCCGGGTCCCGCGGGCGGAATTCCACGACACCGCCGCGGTGCTGCAGGAAGTTGCAGACACCAACACTACTGCAACCACCACGACGACCAAAATCTACGGCGTGTCGCGGCGCCGCGCCGCGCAGATCCCCGCCGTCGCGTTTTTGGTGAACGTCATCATGGACGCGCTGCCCGCCGAGGCCATCACGCACATCCAGTTCTGCCAAGGCGGCGTCCGCGAGGGCTTCCTGTACGACCGGCTCCCGCCGGCGGTGCGCGCCCAGGACCCCCTCCTCGCCGCGACGCGGCCGTATGCGCCGCCGTCGGCGGACGTGCTGCGCGATCTGCTGCGGGCGGCGCTGCCGGACACGCCGTCACCGCGGGACGCGGACTCGTTCCATCTGCCCCAGTCATTCTGGGCGACGAATCTGCTGGCGGCGCTGGCGGATTTGCTGTTCGCGCATGCGAAGGTGCCCCGCGAGTCGCGCGCCGCCGCCGCGCTGCATAGCACCGCGACGGGGATCCTGGCGGCCACGAACTGTCTGTCGCATGTGGAGCGCGCGCTGATCGCGCTGGTGCTCTGTGAGCGCTGGGACGGGGAGCTCGCCCCGACCGATGAGGCGTACCAGCGGCAGCTGGTGCGGTGCGTGTCGCGCGAGGAGGCGTGGTGGTCTCGGTACCTGGGGCGCGTGGCGGCCTTGGTCGGGGATGTGTATCCTGCCGGCCGGGAGCCGGAGGAGGGCCGTTGGAGGGTGCGGTTCGAGACGGAGTGGAGCGCGGTCGTGAAGAAACAGGGAAGGGAAGTGCGCGACGTGCTGCACCTGACGGTGCGGCGTGGGGACGCTGCCACTACGTCCATGCTACAGGAGATACTGACGGACAGGGCGGACGGCTTGGAGAAGGTGGGCAAGAAGAAGAATTGGGTTCATGGGCGCGGGGTGAAGGTCAAGGTCACTGTCGTGTAGTATGGAGACTGGAAAGCGAGCTATGCGAAGTATGGTTCGACAGCCAGCCAGCTACGAAGTTACATGTGCCCTGATCCACGTCTCTCTACAGGTTGGCGTGTCCGACATATCGCAGACAGTTTGATAGACAAACCTCCCCAGAGCTTGGGAAATGAAGTATCAAATTGCGTAGCTCACAAGGACCCTTGACCATAGCCAGCGAAATGGAGCCTGATTCGCCACTGGCCTTGGACTCAGACCCCCGGCCTTGAAATGCAGGAAAGCAGGATGAAACCCGAACCATCTACTAGAGATCGCAGCACGCAGATTGCAACCGTCGATTATGCATGCATGCATGCATGCAAAGTGCCCAGCAAGAGCAAAAAACCAGCAATAAGAGGGACTTGAAAATAGTGATGGTATTGCATCGCCAGATGTAAAAAAGTCCGATTACTCGTCCTTTCCTGCTATCAAGTAAGAAAAACAAGACACTTCCATTACACTCGCCTTCCCCCACGTCAAGAAATCCGTAATCCGCGAAATTCCGTCGTAAGTTGGGGAGGAACCGTGCTTTGATTTTTCCTGATCGAAAAGGAGTGGTAGCCTTCCGATCGCAAATAGCCGCATCACCAGATCCTCAAGCCTCTTCCATTCACGCCACCTTCAAAACCCGGGGAATCGTCGTTGCTCAAAAAGTCATCGAGTTCTTCTTCTTGTATCAAATTATTCGAAGAGGATTTTTGTTCGTGAAGATGCTTCCGTTTAAGCGGTGGGGTTGGCGTTCATCTGTATTGAGGGAGTTGTGTAAGCCCTTCCGTTTGTGATCATAGCACACAGCACTTTTCCAGACGTATTCATCGAGACAGCCGTGTCCCTTCCATGTCTTCCCTTGTATCCCAGGCTGATCGTGGTGGATTTTTCATACCTTGCGCTTGCCACCGGTGAGGGTGACGTTGACGAAACGGCGGGTGTAGACGACACGCTTGTAGGCACGGCCCTTGGGCTGCTTGGCCTTCTCCTGCTTCTCGACCTTGGGAGTGGCGGCCTTGACCTTACCGGCACGAGCGAGCTGTAGTCGAGAAATAAAGGGTCAGATATCTTTCATTCTTTTCATGCTGGTCATAGTAGTTTTTCGACTTTTCGATGGTCGTTGTGTCCGGTCGTCGATGGGGCGAACGTGATAAGAGAGGAGAGAGGGGAGCGCTTACAGATCCGTGAACCTATTTTCATCCAGATGTTAGTCTTTTCTGTTTCTCATCCTGAGGACATTTTTTCCAGGAGCATCTCTTTTGATAACTTACCTTACCCATTTTGGCGTTATGTGATGATCTTCAAGAACAACGAAAAAGGGATCCTGTCGAGATTTGTCGTACGGGGCGGGAAGTGCGAGGGCGATTTGGGGGAGGGGGAATTTTGGCGGTTTCGTCGACGGGATTGCAAGTCACGCGTTTGTGCGGCGGTTCAACTTTGCCCCACCCCGGTTTCGGTTAGCCTCGTTACATAAGGGTGGATGACTCATGTGTGTGCATAATTTGGGTTATGCTGGGCTGTGCTATGTATGCTATGTCATTCTAGACTTTGAGTAGTTAACTATTGCAGGTGGTATCCGAATATCACAATAATGAGGCTACTCAAGAAGACGGTAGAGTGATGGATCTAATAGGTGGTAGGATATAATTTCAAACAATGCATTTTCATGAAGCTATTCTCAACGATACTCATAATACTGAGTACATGAGGTTGGTGAAGGAAGAATGAAGCAAGCGGGGGGGAAGAAGGGTCCCTAGTCCCGAGTCACCCCCGCCGACTCCCCAACAATATGGAAGGCAGTTCCCCCGGCCGGGCCTATCCTCGCACTTGCCGCCTCCGTATGGACTACTGAGTCACAGTACCAATGGATGACTCTACCCTGATCACTTCCTGGGGCTCATCTTTCGCTAACCTCCCTCTTTCTCCATGCGACTGGCTCAACTATCCGGAGACAAGCCTCCGCATGCATCGTGCAAACCCCCATATAACAACTGTGATAGACTTGATTGTATAACGCCTGGCGCCTTCAGCATATAGCGCACCATAACACATGCAATAACGCCCCATTTCGATCCTAATCCTCACCCCCTCCACCCAGTAGAGTGCGAATGCGAAGGCTAGTGTGACCTCGAATGCAACCGAGTGCCATGTTTCGAGCCCGAGCGCCTTCCATGTCCATGATGAGCATGTCTGTGTCGGCGCCCTTGCCCATGCCCTTGCCCATGCCCCAGCCTAGCCTCATCAGCACCGACTTTACCCACTTCCCTGGTCATAATCCCAACAAACACCAAAACCATCGCCGCGAGCAGCTCGGGGAGAAACCCCAACACAACACGAACCGCCAAACTCCCTGTCGTCGGGTTTAGGTCCGCGTGTTGAGTAAGTTGCGCGACAAGCATGTAGATTGCTGAAATCTCGACGAGGGAAAGGGCGAGGAGGGTGCCGGTTAGGAGCTGTGCCTTGCCTCGAGGCAGCTTTGTGTTAGCACATGAACCATTCCTCCGTATGGATCCAAATCCAGATAGTATCAACGATCTGGGAGATGGCAAGGGATGAACGCACCAACCACCCCTCCCTCCCGGCCAAGCTCGCTGGTGCACCCCTCCCATTCCAACGAGTCCACAGTCCCCACAAAGCGAGCACGCCCCACGCAACCTCCAACAGCACCATGCCGACCTTGATATTGGATAAATCATTGGGCTGTGGCGTATCGCCCAGAAGCCCGCCTGCACCAACCCCAACCATTGCCACCCCCGTCGCCACGAGGACATGGATGAGCGCCATGAACGTCCATTCAGTTCGTTTATTAGGGGATAAACAGTAGACTCTCCTAGAACACCATCAGAACATATGAGATATATTGCTCTTGCTCTTGCTAAGGGGAAAACTTACGCCTCATGCAACACCCCGTCTATCGAAAGCAGCAGCGGTGAGAGCCCGATACTGGATATGATCTGGGCGCCGGTGTTATGCGGGTTGTGGAGGCCCATGGCGGCCCCGGTCACGCGAAGAACGCAGAAGGCGAGGAGGTAGAGCCAGGCGAGGAGGCCGTGGCGGCCATGGCTGAAGACGAGGTAGAAGGTTGGAAGTGTTAGGGGGGCGTAGAGGGCGAGTTGCGAGACGAGGAGTCCGGACGTCATGTTCAGTCACTCAGTGTACAGGCTGGGAGAAACGGGGGGGGGGGGGGGAGGTTTGGGTAAAAAGGTACAAGGTACTATATCTATACGCATTCTAGGCAACAAATCTCGGGCATATAGTTAAGACGCAGGGCCGAGATGCAGGCCCGGACGCTACTAAACGAGACCGAGAATCCTTGTCTATTAGAGCCAATCATCTGCGAGGCCTCAGGCAATATGATTCTCAAGGCTAGGTATGCCTCTGTGCTTGTGGAGACGTCGCCGGGGTAGTTAGGCGCGATGCCCCAGGAGCCTTCGGCGTTTTGCTGCGAGAGCAGCCATTGGCGGTATTGGCTGCCTTCGTCGGGGTCGATTTGTTGGTAGAGCACATATGTACAGAAAATGTGTTCGCAGGTCACGGTCACATTAGACTCGAGCTCGCCGCACCAGTGGCGGTTGGAGAAGATCTCCCAGGCGGAATAGCGGCTTGTGTTTGCTGTGGTGCACAAGATATAATCATCTCTACTGGCCAGGACATTAGGCGTTGATATGCGCGACGGCCCCTCGATATGCTTCTAGCGCCGTATCGTTGTCCTCGTCGCCGGGCGCAGTCGGAAGCAGGAAGGAAAATGCCCCAGCATCAGAACTCGTCCGCAAGGGGATAGGAAAGGTATCAATAATACACCAGATACTCGCGGAATGAGTATCATGCCTCGCAATCTCCAAGGCCGCGTCAAAGACAGCGACCGACCCGCGCAATAGACGCATCCATTCACTGACGTGCTCGGAAGAAACAACAGTATGATTCTGTAAGGTAGCAAATACGTCGACCTGTAACAGGATGCTTGTAAAGCACACCGCATCCGCGGTCTGCGTAGTTATGCCGCCGATACAGAGTCGATGTTCGCGCAAAGCCTGCTCGAGGAAGTTGCAGTGGATGTCCAGCAAGCCAGCTTCGTCTGGATTGGCTTTGGACAGATGCAGGGCCGAGATTGCGAAGACGGCGTGCAGGAGCGGCTTATAACCGAATGCAAGTCGAGGCACGTCGATCGACCAACAGTCTTTGACACGCTTCAATTGGGCCCCAGGCAGAGTGGCACTGGCGAATAGGGTAAAATGATGCAGCAAGCGCAACTCTATATTACTGAGATCCGATGAACTGGGCTGGAGTGGGCGAGATTGGATCTCCTCCGCGGGCCTGTCATAGACACAGGGGATCCCATGACGATGGCAGTCGCGACACACAGGTCGCGCTTCATCACACTATCACACTAAATCAGTCAGGACACATGTGGTGGCCAGTGGTAACTTGAAATGAATTCCATCTACCTTTACTCGTCGGGCGCGACATCGCTGACATCCGGTCCTGGACTTGCGGTGGGCGAGACGGGGACCCTTGCGCTTTTTGCGGTTGGACGAGTCCCTTTCGCTTTGACTGTGGCCTCGTGGCGAAGAGGACGGGTTACTTTCTGGGATGGCCGAGGAGGTCATCTTGCTTCGGTCCCACTTGTCATGGCGATGGGTTTCAAAGCAGCGATGACTTATCCCGGGGTCTTTCGGATTCAGTGAAGAGGAGCGAAGCCTTCCTCAGTTGGTCGACCTGTCACTATTTACCTCAATGATGTTAAGACGGGCCAGGGAGAAGGGACGAAACGGCAGATAAGTCGCCCGGATGTTGAGGATTTTCTCGAAGTAAGCAGTCATAGACAGGTGTAGGCCGCGAGTTATTGACTGCAACGAAGGTTCCTAGGAGATGGACGCGGGCCGCCCTCACTAAAGACTCCCGGTCTTGTACGGAGTATACTGTAAAACCTTAGGTCACCTAACTATGAGTAGGTCTGAATGATCAATTGAGATTTGGGGCACGCGTTCCCGACTGAGGCCTCCCATTATACATAGAAGCTAGGAAGACAATAACTAAAGTATACCAGTATACCAGTATACCAGTATACCAGCCCTGAGGTGAACAGAGATCATGTGACTATACTCTGACCCCCGCGGACTACAGTACTCCCTCGAAGCTCATAGTTGCCTGCCATGACAATGTAGAGCATATCATAGGCTAGTATTCGAAAGTCATCATGATCGTCGTATTGATTGACTCACCCAGTCAATCATGTACTTTACTCCTTGGGTTCACCGGTCTACCGGTCTAAACATCTCCGGGCAGAATCGGAGGGACAGGAAGTTAAATGATCGTCGAGGAGGAGAAGGAGGAGCATGTCATGGTCATTACGTCTTCTGGCCTGCCTGTCTATTTAAGCTGCCCCTCCTTCCCTCCTCTCAACCCCGCTTCTTTTCTTCTCTTTCTCTTCTCCCCAACACAATTTCTCGTCCCATCTTCATCCATCTTCATCCATCTTCGACAGATACTACCACTATCTCCAGAGGTCGTGATCCCTTTCATTCAATTGAATCTCCCCCAGTCATGGGAAGAGCTTTAACTAACCTATCTACAGGAACTCAATTCGTCCAATGTAAACACCACCTACCACGGCCCCTCGCGGGTCTTGACGGTGGAAGTCATGCAATGCCTTTGAAGCTGGGCAACTCATTGATCAGGTACCTCAGGTAACTTTGGCCATGGACCGGTGTTCGTTCCTATCTGCCAGCGTAATTCGCGCTGGTGGCTCTGGGTTCGTTCTGAGAATATACGGTTAAACTTGATCTGGATAATACCAGCGAAAGGATCATGCCTTCCCTCGTGCCCCCTTCATTGATGGAATAACTAACAATCCTCAGTCACTACCGTGACTTGATCCCTCACTTGAACAACCCCCAAAGAACATCATGTCTCCCCCAGCTGCCTTGCTCGAGTCCCCCGTGGCCCCTACCGCCGGTCTCAAGGGAAAGGTCATTGTTCCTGAGATTACTCCCATGATGGGAGGAGACTCGCAGACCAAGCTGCTCGACCACTTCGGCGGCAAGTGGGATGACTTCAAGTTTGAACCGATCCGTGAGAGTCAGGTGTCTCGCGCCATGACCCGACGCTACTTCCAGGATCTGGACAAGTATGCCGAGAGTGACATTGTCATTGTCGGCGCTGGTTCCTGTGGTCTGAGCACCGCGTACGTGCTGGCGAACGCGCGCCCTGATTTGAAGATTGCCATCATCGAGGCCAATGTTTCTCCTGGTTCGTACAACTGAATGATTAGCAGCATTACAACATCAACTAACCCCGTACTCTAGGTGGTGGTGCTTGGCTGGGTGGCCAGCTCTTCTCTGCGATGGTCATGCGTCGGCCCGCGGAGGTCTTTTTGAATGCACTGGGCGTGCCTTACGAGGAAGACCCATCGAACCCCAGCTATGTCGTCGTGAAACATGCGTCCTTGTTCACCTCGACCTTGCTGTCCAAGGTCCTCTCCTTCCCAAACGTCAAGCTCTTCAACGCCACCAGCGTGGAGGACTTGGTGACTCGTCCCTCCCCCAACGGAGATCCCAAGGAGACCCGCATCGCGGGTGTAGTCACCAACTGGACGCTGGTGACTCTGCACCACGATGACCACTCCTGCATGGACCCCAACACCATCAACGCGCCTCTTGTGATCAGCACCACCGGACACGACGGCCCGTTCGGAGCCTTCTCGGCCAAGCGCCTGGTCTCGATGGCGACCGTTGACAAGCTGGGCGGCATGCGGGGTCTGGACATGAACTCCGCCGAGGATGCGATCGTCAAGAACACTCGTGAGGTCACCAAGGGCCTGATCATCGGCGGCATGGAGCTGTCGGAGATCGACGGCTTCAACCGCATGGGCCCGACCTTTGGTGCGATGGTGCTCAGCGGTGTCAAGGCGGCCGAGGAGGCCCTCAAGGTCTTTGATGAGCGCCAGCGTGAGTGTGCCGAGTAAGATGATCGTATTGTCGAGCTGCAACTCTACGAATGAGATGTCTACGAAGCTGCCGGTGATTTTCTTTCGGAATGTTCGGTGACTTTTGTTTCGTTATCAAGAAATGTCCACAAATTGAAACGAATGCGCTTGATAGCTAAATATGAACACTCGTTTAACTAGAAAGTTGAATCTGTGGTGTATCCACAAATGTAGAAAACATGCTAGTAAAACTCGAGAGCCTTTTCTTCATCACCGACACCTTCCATTGCCTCTGATACAGAGGTAAAATACATATGATTAAATTCTGTAACCATCAACATTATCGCTATACAACCCACCCAACCGACCGCCAAGACGCGGGAGAATCTGACGTCGGCGGGTGCGTATCGCATCCCCGATCTGGACCACTTCTTCTCCGCCGCAGGCAATTTACCCACTGCATCAACCTTCCCCAGCTCCCACTTTTTTCCCTCTCACACAGCTTACATCTCAAACAAAATCTCCAGAAATGCAACATCCCTAATCCATCCTCAGCATTGGAAACCACAAACCACAACCCCCCGCCTCACCAACAAACGAACCTACACCCAACCATCGCGCAAAAACCAACATGAACAACGACCAATTCCGCCGCCTCGTCCTCGACACCCCGACCAGCAGCAGCAGCAGTAGCAACACCAACAAAAATGCGCGCACCACCACCAACCCAGGTGCAACACCCTCACCCTCCGCCGCAGCGCTGGGCTCGCGCCTACGCTCGAGCATCCCCATGACGCCGTACGTATGCCCCCCACAAACTGTCCTGGAAGGTTCTATGGCGGGAAACTTGCTAATTGCTTTCCGGGTGTACACAGCCGCGCACTCAACACCACGAAATCATCCCTGCACAACGAATTCGCGCGCCAACTCGCCGATCATCGCCGGGAGCAGATGGGCGGCGCCGGCGGTCCTCCGGCGAAACGGTTCAAGTCGTCGGCTGCGCCGAAGGGGACGAGGTTGCCGGAGGGGTATCGAGATCGGGCGGCTTTGTTGAGGGGGGTGGAGCAGCAGGGGGAGAAGGATGGGGATGGGGATGGGGATGGGGGTAAGGCTGGTGGAGACGGGGGGGATGGTGATGAGTTGGAGAAGCGCGTGAAGGCGTTGGAGGAGATGGTGAAGTTGGGGCAGATTGATCAGGGGACGTTTGAGGGGTTGATGAGGGAGATGGGCGTTGGTGGGGATTTGGAGAGTACGCATATGGTTAAGGGGTTGGATTGGGAACTGTTGAAGAGGGTGAGGTCCGGGGAGGATGTTACGGGGCCCAAGGGGGGGGATAGTCGGAGTGTTGAGGCTGAGAAGGTGGGGGATGTTGATGATGAGTTGGATCAGGTGCTTGGCGAGGAGGAAGCCGGGGTCGATGGGTTGCCTTCTGCTCCCAGGGAACAGAAGGTCAAGAAGAAGGGGATCATGGCGCCGCCGCCGCCTCCGCCTCCGCCTAGACTGGAGCAGGTGGAGCCTGGGGTGCCCAGGTCCAGGGATGAGATTTTGAGGCAGTTGAAGGCTAGTCGTGCTGCTGCTGCTGCTGCTGCTGCTGCGGAGGCTGAAGCTGAGATGGAGGAGCAGCGGCCGGTTGAGCCCGCGCTGGGGAATAGATTCAAGAGGATCGGGAGTGAGTCGAAGGTCGAGAAGAAGCGGTGGATCGAGCAGGATGAGACTGGTCGCCGGAAAGAGATTCTCCAGATCACGGATGCGCAGGGCAAGGTCAAGCGCAAGGTGCGATGGCTGGATAAGCCGGGCGAGGCGCCGGCGCCTGCTCCTGCCGCTAAACCGCTGGGCATGGAGGTTCCGCCTGAGTTCGCGGCCAAGGCTGCGCCGACCCCGGCGGAGGAGGAAGACGACGACGATATCTTTGCTGGAGTGGGAGCGGACTACAACCCGTTGGCAGACTTAGGCGACGAGGACGGTTCATCGTCGTCGGATGAAAGTGAAGACGGCGAGGTCGCTCAGAAGAAGTCGGTGGGCACAGACACTGCTCCAGCGGAGGCTACTGCGGATACGGAGAAGAAACCTGTCGAGGACACGACAGGCCGGCCACGCAACTACTTCGCTACATCGACGACGGAAGAAGTCCCCGAGATCGATCGCTCCAATCCCCTGGCTAAGGATGCTACGCTACTGGCCGCTCTCAAACGGGCGGCGGCCTTGCGTCAATCCGAGGAGGCTGCTGGGGAGGGAGAGGAGGATGTCGATGCGGAAACAGCCTTGCGGCGCAAGAAGTTCCTGGAGGAGGCGCGACGGCGTGAGGCGTTGGATGCGATGGATATGGACATGGGCTTTGGAGGCAGTCGGGTGGGCGATGAAGAGGACGACGAAGAGGTCGTGCTCGAGGGCGAGGGCCGGGGTGGGAAGAAGAGGAAACGAGGGCCCAAGAAGAAGAAGGGCGATAAGAACAGCGCGTCAGATGTCTTGCGTGTTATGGAAGGTCGGAAGCAGGGGCAGTGAATGTATGATGGGACTGGCGGTCGGTGAATCTCGGTGAATCTCAGTGAATCTTGTGTTATGATACCAGTGAATGGAAATGAATTCCAGGCACCTTCCAGGAAATCTTTGGCTATAAAACCCCCCTCATCTCTCCTTCCTCTTCTTCCTTCTCTCTCTCTCTCTCTCTCTCTCTCTCTCTTCTTCTTCTTCCTCCTCTTTCCCCAGACTCTTCCTTCTTCCCATCTTCCTTCTTCCCTCATCCTCATCTCCATCCATCTTCGTCATCCCCTCAGCTTGACTATCTTCCTGTATACCAACCTGTCTATGTAAAGAAGCCGTCAAGATGAACACATCATGATCAGCTTCCTCACTTTCGATCAGATTCTGTCCCCCAGCGCAGACATTTCTTCTCTTCATGCCTCCTCCTACCTTCTCCTCTCTCCATCTTTTCTCATCAACACTACCACCACCACCACCACCACCACCACCACCACCACCACCACACACACATTCCTCTGAGAAGACAACACCTTCAGAGCTTCAGACCAGAATCAACAGGTAAGAACCCGAAGCTATCTACCCCAGAACAGCCCAACTCCTACTCCTTTCTTCACCCCCATCCCCCTTTCTTCCCGTCGAACCTCCTCTGGGGCCAGGACGGTGGCCTGCCGCGCCTCAGGAAAAGTATGATTTCCCTGTCTCTCTTTCCAAACATTCCTCCATCCTCTTTTCCAGAAGCTCGCAGTTTGTCTTCCAGTTTGGGTCTGGGCTTTGCTACTACCGAGGGGCCCCTCGGTGCAGCATGAGCTACAGAAACACTAGGGCATCTTGTGAAACACCGGAAGGAGGACAGGAAACACACTGGAAAGACTGAGGCACATTTCAAATCTCGATCCTAAATCCTGAGGACGGTAAGGTCTACCCGAGCAAATGGTATTCTTCTCACTTTCCAAAGTGGTTGAACTGGACAAAACCCCGGGCTTGATCAGAAGGAGTCATCACCCTTCTCGTATCTGTTGTGAAGTCTCCGTGGGCGAACGCCGATCCATAGCGGGAGTAGTGGGCTTTGATCAAGGACGGTCCCGAGGAAGGTTGGTGTGATCCAAGGGGATGCCGCTTGTTTTCTCCTCGAAGTTAAACAGCCGCTGTGGTTGCACTTTGGGCTATGGATCCGGAGGGTCTTACTCAGTGGCGTTTGTCGCTGAATGATGTGTTCTTATTTTTAGGTTCCATGCGATGCGATGCGATGATCTCGACGACGACGATGACAACAACGACAACGACAACGACAACGACAACAACGAAGGTGAGGGTGGGACCATGGGTAGTATGGGGCATGAGAGACCATGTATATAGAGCATATAGATCGTGGTGTCGGTGTGCATATCAATATAGCATCAACTCCTGCTGATCTAATTCTTCGCAACGAATTATTCCTTTCAGTAAACTCTTTGTAAGCATATCATGCATGCAAAAACTTGATCAGCTCATCAATCTCAGCCTAGTAAACATTAACTTATATACAAAGACCACACATATTATACACACAATCATACAAGAAAGCTCATCCCGCCCTCTTCGACGTCCCAGCAGCAGCAGCCGCCTCGGCGATCTGCTTCGCGTTCCGAACCTCCCACTCAAACTCCTTCAGCGCGCGCAGCTCGCTGGACATAAATAACCCTCCAATCAATCCATCCAGGATTCCCGCGCCAAAGTTCAACGTGCTCACGAACAGCAGGATGAAGGCCACATATGGCAGGTGGTCGCCGGTCCACCAAACGCCCACCATACAGCCGATCGACACAAACACGGAGGCGACAAAGTGTGCGAGTCGCCAGCGTCGCTGCGAGCGTTCCCGCTGGACATACTTGTCGATCATCTCGATGATGCGGTCATAGGTCTCTGGCTCGAGGGTGGTGTTGGGAGCGAGTGACGAGCCATCAGCAGCCGTAGCAGCGGCAGCAGCGCTACTCCCTTCAGCCTCCAGCTTAGCAGACTGCTCCTGCGCCTCCTCGCGCGTGATGACCGCCTCCACGGCGAAGTGATCGCTCAGCGAGCATCGCAGCGTCGGATGGCGCTCCATCATACTCAACTGGACCGACTTGACGGTCCATTGTGGGACTGACGGAGACCGCAACCCACCACCACCACCACCACCACCACTTCCATCTCCAACAAAGATATAATCGAGTCGCTTGCCGCGCGGACACGGGGCCTCGGGATCGACCTCGATCTCCTCACCCTTTTTGAGCAACCGCTTCTGATCCTCCTTACTCCAGCGCCAAGTATTGAACCGTCCATCGCAGGTGGCCCCATTCTCTGTGACATTGAACCGCGCCGAGGGGACGGGCTTCCCGCGCGCCTGCTCGACGGGGTCGATGGCGGCGCCCAGGGAGGAATCCGGATGCAGGACCTGCCAGACGTCGCGGACGGGGCTGTGGGCCTGGATGAGACGGTGCGCGAACGACGAGGGCAGCATGTTGAAGTCGCCCAGGCCGATGACGAGGTGGCCGCGCTCGGCGGCGCCGCGCATCAGCTTGGCGATCTCCCACGCCTGCGCCGTCCGGTGGCAGATGTACGAGTCGTTGGGCTCGCGCTCGTACGGCGCGTGCAGGTGCGTGCAGAACACCTCGGCCACTTCCTGGGGAGCGGCCCCAACCCGCACACGCGCGCACGCCACCCCTTTCCCCACGTACCAGTCCCCGCGGAAGAAGGCCGTCGGCCGCCCGTTCAGCGGGTACCCCACCATGCTGCTCTCCTCGATCGGCCACCGCGACAGGATCGCCAGCCCCGCGCCCCAGATGCCCCCGTGGTAGAACTTGCCGTGCGGCAGGATGTGGCGCGTCTGCTGCCGGATGCTCTCGTAGTCCGCCTGCGTCCAGCATTCTTGCAGCCCGACGATCTCGGGCGGTGGGGTGGCGATGGCCAGCCGTCGGCCGATCTCGGTGAGGCGCTCATGCCGCAGTTTGGCGATGTATTTGAGGCCCCAGCAGTTGAGGGTGAGGATGCGGATGGAGGTGGGGGAGGACGAGGGGGGATTAGTGGTTGCGGTGGTTGCGGTGGAGGGAGGGGAGGGTTGTTGTTGTGGTTGTTGTGGTTTTTCGGAGAGCGTATCGGCCATTGTGAAGGGGTTTTAGGTCAATGCAATTGTCATCATGAGCTTACTGGATAAGTTGCATGGAGAGTTTGCGTGTGAGTGTCCAGACAGAAAAGAGACAACAAGCAACAAGCAACAAGCAACAAGCAACACCTATGGAAGTATAGTTAGCCTCCGCAATGATTTCATCATTTTCCGGGCGGACTCACCGCCCGGCCTCGACCCGCCCGGCTTCGCGCCGACCGCCTTCCCAAAACCCGCGCGATCGTCACGAGGGATGGGCGAAATTCCAATGAAAGAAATCCGAGAATCGCGCAAAAGATTCCCCAGAAAAAAACAACATTGCTTCCTTTTTTTTTTCTTTCTTTCTTTGGTCGTGTGCTCCTCTCTCTTTTCCGTCTTTTTCTCTTCCTTTCAATCATCTTTTTTGCCGTCTGGGTAAATCTCCACTCGATAACTACCTACCTACCTTACCTCCCAAACTCATGACCCAGACCCAGCCACAACCACAGCCATCATCCCCTTAACACCGCAATCCAATTCCTTTCCCTTGAACCCAGTTAAACCAGTTGAAACCAATCTCCATCGCATCCCCTTCAATCCCCACAATAGGGCATCCATCATCCATCATCCAGCATGGACGGACCATCCTCCACCCACCACCGCCCCAAGCGCCGTCGCCTGGACATGCCGGATAAACATGCCCAACACCAGCACCAGCACAACCACCTCTCGCACAAGAAAAACACCACCACGCCACTCAGCGCCAGCACAAAGCACAACGGCTACGCCCACGCCCACCCCCACAAACTCCAATCCCTGGTCCCGCCACCACCACCAGCCGCAAGGCGACCCTCCAAAGATGACGACGACGACGACAACGACAACGACAACGATGAAGACGTCTCTGATTCCTCGGACGAACTGGCCGCGGGCTCCGAGCACGACGAGGCCGAGGAACGCCGCCGCCGCGCCAGCTGGAGTCTCCAGAAACAGAAAAATGTGTATACGCCGCAGAGGCCGTATCGTCCGCCGCTGAGGCGGAGTTCGAGTGGCTCCGAGAGTCCGGATGAGTTGACGATTGATGCGGAGGAGTATTGGCGGTCGACGAGGAAGCGTGGGTCGATTGGGGTTGTGGGGGGCGCGGTTGGGCAGGGGGTGCAGGGGAGGGGGAGCGGGAGTGGCATTGGAAGTGGGAGTGGGAGGAGGTCGGTGGGGGGCGGAGCTGCGGGCGCGACGGCTGTGGCGGTCGCGGTGGATGTTCCGTGGGGGACGGGGAAGGGGAGGAGGTCTTTGTCTGGGTTACGGGGGGAGGTTAAGGTTGAGGATGAGGTGGAGGTGGAGGGGTCTGAGGAGGAGGATGAGGAGGGGGAGGGGGAGGATGAAGATGGGGATGAGGAGGAGGATGTGGATGTGGATGTGGATGTGGAGGTTGATGAGGGTGAGGGTGAAGGTGAGGGTGAGGTGGGTGCTGATGCCGATGCTGCTGCGCCTGATGGGGATGAAGCTGAGACTGCAAATGCGGAGGTGGAGGTGGCCGTGGAGGTTCAGGTCGAGGAGCGGAATCTGGAGAATTCAGATGGCAAGGATCAGGATCAGGATCAAGATCAGGCTCAGGCTCAGGCTCAGGCTCAGGCCCAGGATCAGGCTCAAGCTCAGCCTCAGCCTCAGCCTCAGCCTCATGATCAGAGTCAGGGGGTACAAGACGAAAAAGAAGATGTGGATGAAGGAGAGGATATGAAGGTGGACGAGTTCGATCACAATTTCAATGTCGCTACGGCCCCCTCTACCGTCGCAGAAGCCGCCGCCGATGCTCCTCCGCTCGAAGAAGAACAAGATGCACCTGAAGACGACGAAAAAGTGTCTCGCGACAGCATCAATCACGACAACAACGATGACGTGAATGCGCGTGAGGATGACGAACCCCTCCACGACAACTACCCCGGAGACAATGAAGACGAGGAGATGGTCAACGCCGATGATGGCCTTGATGTCGACGAACCGGAACCCACCACGAATGGCGACCTTGTGGAAGAAACCCCAGAATCGTACCGCGACCGGTCGCCTACGCCCGTCTCCCAACCGCCGCCACCGCCACCGAAACCGGATAAGGTGGAATATCGCGCGAAGTTCCTACTTCGCGGTCATCTGCGGGGAGTGTCCGCCGTGCGGTTCTCGCCAGATGCGTCGATGATCGCAAGTGGAGGTGAGATTTGTCTTTTCGTGAGATATCCCATGGGAGGCTAGACTAACCATGTCTGTGATGTAGGGGCGGACGGGGCTGTCAAAGTGTGGGACACCGTGACCGGGAAATTGATCCATTCGTTCGAGGGCCATTTGGCGGGTATCTCTACGATCTCGTGGAGCCCGGATGGGGCGACCATCGCATCTGGATCGGACGACAAGACGATCCGACTGTGGAACGTCCTGACGGTATGGAAGACACTACGATCCAGCGCCGGCTGTCATTGAGGCTAATCACTCTACGTGCTTTAGGGCAAGGCGCATCCGATCCCGTTCGTCGGTCACCACAATTACGTCTACCAGATCGCATTCTCCCCGAAAGGCAACATGCTCGTCAGCGGATCCTACGATGAGGCGGTCTTCCTGTGGGACGTGCGGTCGGCGCAGGTGATGCGGTCGCTGCCGGCGCATTCGGACCCGGTGGGCGGCATCGACGTGGTCTGGGACGGGACGCTGATCGCCTCGTGCGCGACGGACGGGCTGATCCGCATCTGGGATACGGCGTCGGGCCAGTGTCTGCGCACGCTGGTGCACGAGGACAACCCGCCCGTCACGGCGGTCAAGTTCTCCCCGAACGGGAAGTACGTGTTGGCGTGGACGCTGGACGACTGCGTGCGACTGTGGGACTACGTGGCCGGCCGGTGCATCAAGACCTACCAGGGTCACAGCAACCGGAAGTACAGCCTGCAGGGCGGGTTTGGCACGTACGGCGGAGAGTCGGGGAACGGCAGCGGCAGCGGGATGCCGGTGTATGCCTTTGCGGTCAGCGGCAGCGAGGACGGTGCCGTCTTGTGCTGGGACGTGGTGAGCAAGCAGGTCCTGCAGCGCATCGAGGGCCACACGGGCGTGGTGTTGGGGGTGGATACGTGCTCACTCGGAGGGGCGCGGCTGATGGTCAGTTGCGGGCTGGATGGGACCGTTCGCGTCTGGGAGGAGGCGAGCACCGCCGGCGATGGGCATGGCCCGACGACCAACGGCGCGCAGACGAATGGCACCGTGCTGAACGGCTACGGGGGTTCGATCTCTGACCCCGACACGCCGGCCGAACTGGGGGGCACTGAGGACGCAACTCCGATGGCAACGACCGCGACGGAGGCTGGGTTTGCCCAGACCAACGGACACCATAGCATGCCCGAGCCCGAAGATACCGAGATGGGTGGGGCCTGAATGATAAAAGCAATCGCATCAACAGCAGCAGCTTCTTTACTGTACAGCAGTGTAAACCAAGGGATGGACGGGATGGCGTTTCAAGGTTGAGGGTGGGTGGGTTGTACACTAGACATGAGGGACGAACCACAATTACTCAACATCTACCGTGAGCAACTAGGGGAGATAAGAGCCCTACCAGCGGAGGATGGAGGATTGTCTGTTTGTATGTACTATTATTTCTAATGCTGGACGGATATCTGGTCCGTCAGCTTTGACAGATTTTGACAGAGGAAAGGGATGGAAGCAAGACCAGCCCTAAATAGCTAGCTAGCTAATTCTCGACGATGGGAAGACAGCAAGCACTTCTTGATCCCTTGAGTACCGGTAAGAACGTTGTACGCATGAGGACTGGATTGTGAGAAGCTATAGTCTGAGACGCAGGAGGATATCAATCGCCTCCCAAACCGACAAACCACCTCGGTGGTGGAATTGAAGATCGAACCAGAGACCGAGATGAGAAGAACCCAGCTCCAGGAAGGACGATCAGGGAGACCAAACTGTATATTCAATACCTAGTATCCTTCAATAATCAATCTACTCAAGTTGACTAACCAACCAAACACTTGACTCAGAATCGTCAATCAACACAGTCAGCACAATGGCTATATCAGAATCCCGAGGTAAGCCAGTTTGCTTTTCTTAAGATTATCAAAAAGAAAAAGGGGAAGTGTTATATCTATCCGCACAGCTCTCTGTCTGTATGATGCCCCAGCCAAACCCCGACCCCGACCCTCTCCGCAGCCGTGTTCCAAACAAGACCTCGGTAGACACAGTAGTCTACAAGTACTCCGTACAATGTACTCGTATGCAGTAGTAGTACTCATATGTACATCGTACACAGTAGATCAAAGTCCTCCCTTTCCCATTCATCTACAAGTAGTAGGGCCTTCTCTATCCGACTCCGAAAGAGACCAATTGAGTCATCATCTCAATCGGCTAACTAACTAACTAACTAACTAACTAAAATCACACCTGCTTCCACCCCCGCTGATGTACTACGTACAGTACAAACAACACCCCCTCCCCTCCCCACCTCTCGTACCCCTCTTCTCCTCCTGCGGGATTTTCCCTGGAGCAAGGAAGCTGAAGTGAGGTACTGGACTCGGTACAGTACAAGGTGATACACTCCACTTGCTTGACCGGACCGGAACTATCGGGGAGATTCTCACTAACGTTATAACACTATGTGCTGTACAGTACAAGGATGTGCATAGTAACGTATAGATACTCATAGACCGTGCAAGGCGACGAGTCAATTGTATTGGGGGACGAACTCGGAAGATTTGAGATACCCCACCTATCGTACCTACGGAGGAACCCTGTACCCTGTACATGTAGACCTAGGATGACAATCATTGATACTCATCGCGGGAGTAGGGACGGGGAAGAGGAGTTGGTGATATATAGCGGACCTTGGTTTATTGATCTTACTGGTGTTGTACTGTGCTTACTTGCCTTAAATATCTACCGAGGAGTCATCTCCATGTGCCTGGTAGGGATCTCGATATAGTGTATTACAAGTACTCCGTACCCAGGTACACCATAAGAAGCCGACCGGCCGCCCAGTACTTTTCCCGTGTGGAATTTGCATGTAGTAGCTTTCAGATAGGGTAGGCACCCAGAAAATCTTGCTTTTACCCACACCTCTGAGAAAGTACAAGCGCAGTCAGTTAAATCCAGTCGGTGAAGGGAAGGACAAAAAAGAACATCGAAGAAGAACCGAAACAGCCAACAGCCAAAACCCACACCCAATGAAAGCAACCCCATTGGCGCCCTCCGCTGGAACGTGAAACACCACACAACAAGAGAGAAGGAAAAAAAAAAAAAAAAAAAAAACCCTATCGGTAGTCTAGGTCTAGGTCTGGACCCCCAATTGGGCCGTGGGCGGATATTCTGCATTGCCAGTTGGTGGGTTGTGCACTGCTGGGTTCAAGTTTTCTTTTACTGACGGTGTTAGTGCTAGGGATGATTGTGGTTTAGTTGGAGTGGGGGGATGGATTGTTGACGGCGGAGACGAGGATTATCGCGTGTAAGTGGAGACTCTCTAGTGTCTTGTCGAGGGAAAGTCAATTGGGAAGTGGGAATTGGATAGATACTCTTTGTCTGGTCTGGTCTGGTCTGGGTTTTAGGGTTGGGGGTTGGTGTATGTGGACTGTGGACTGTGTACGGCGTAGTACTCTGTATAGACCATCAAAGAGATACAAGAGTGGTGGGTACGCAGCGCAAACAACAAAGAAGGAAGGTTACATTCGCTGACCTACTGTAAACGGTCGTCGGAGAAAGAGAGACGGGATACATTCGCCACATTGACGATTATTGATTGATTGATTGATAGTCTACCATTCCTGAAGCTGCAGCATGGCACTGCATCTCCTGTCACTGTCACGGTACACCATGAGTAAGTGACAGTCGGTGCTGCTTAGCCATCTACAACACGGAGTTATTCTACAGTCCCTCGTATACGATATGCGCCAGATGGCCTGATTTGAGCCACGCAACCCGGCGCCGCCAGGGATTCCTCCGCACACAAAGGAGTGACTACGAACGACACGGAGAGATCGAGGCAGCTCCAGGCAACCAAGTAGAGCTTCCGCTGGCCCCCATTCGGAGCTGTGTCTTGGCTATGTATGTCATTGTTGGAATGATCGCAGGCCCTTGCTCAGGAATACTTCAGGGTGAGCAGGATTCAGGAGTACTCCTGAGAGGTTGTGGTGGTGAGAGACAAGAATAACCACGGAGTGATGGATCAGATGAGAAGACTTGAAATGGATGTGGTGGACTGGACTAGGGCTGCCCTGTGGAAATAGAGACCGACACACAGACACACACACAGACACACACACACAGACAGAGAGAGAAAGAAAGCCGGGCGGAAAGTGGAGCAGAGAACAGCAAAGGGAGAAAGAAAGACTGCAACAACAACAGCAGCAGCAGAGGTGTTCGTTGGAGCTCCGCCACTAAATTCACTAAATCGACTAGCGTGCAAGTAGCGCTACTGAACGCCCCATCCCACTCAACTCACTGGGCCATGTCTGGGCTGGTGACTGACTGACTGACAGTTCGTCCGTTGGTCATTTTATCGGTCAGTCAAAAGTAATGCAAAGAGACAGTATTGTTGTTGCTGTTGGGTATCTAGATCCCGTCAGCAGCTCCAGCTGTCAAACGGGTAGAGAGAATCAGGGCACAAAACTCAACTGCAGCTCGCCTGCAGGAACCCCAACCACAAAAGCAGAACCAGCACAACATGGTCGCTCGGCCAGTCAGATGAATCATGCACAGGCCAATCTTCCACCCGATGACGTTCCACGGATCGGCCCCCCGTTGGCCGCGGTGAAGGATGCAGGGGAGAAGAGGGTAGGTAAAGTTGTGGTTCAGGTACCCAGACCCGACAGACCCTCTGCATAGACCTATCAAAGACCCCAATGGATGAATATCGCCAAGATGAAACACTTTCGTTTTTGTTCTTTTTGCTTTTTTTCCTTTTCCTTTTCTGCTTTTGTGTTTGGTACCTTTTTTTTCTCTCTCTATTTGTTATTGTTCTTTGACTGGATCCCCGTTCCTGGGCGTTTCGCCTGGTGGAAGGAAGGAAGCCCAGCCCTAATGGTTAGTTTTCCCCTCTTCTTTCGTGGGTATATATCCTCGACTCTTTCCCTCGTTTCTGCTCTCTCTCTCTCTCTTTTTCTTTTCAGTATACTGATCACTCCTCAGTACCCAGTCATTCCTTTGTCATTTGACACCTGCTGAACAATTACCTGTGCCGTGCACGGTTCTGTTCATCCATTCCTTATCCTAAGCGCTACTTGAGTTCCAAGTAGCCATACCACTACCTCCTAAGAACTCGAGAACCGGTCTTCTCAGTCTATCAACCCTCCAAAACAAAAGAGCAAAATGGTCTCCTTCACCAAAGCCCTCCTCATCGCCAGCAGCGTGGCCAGCACCGCGCTGGCGATGCCCTCGCACATCCACGCCAACCGCCACACCGGCGCCAACCACCCGCACGTCACCCTCGAGCAGCGCAGCATCAACAGCACCTCGGGCAAGCGCGGCGCGGCCTACAACAGCGCCAGCACGGTGACCACGCTGGCCCACAGCGGCACGGTTACCTGGGGCTACGACTGGAACATGTACAGCGACGGCAGCCTGCCCTCGCACGTGGAGTACGTGCCGATGCTGTGGGGCAGCAAGATGTTCGGGACGTGGTTCACGGCCATCGAGACGGCCCTGAACAGCGGCAGCAAGTACATCCTGGGCTTCAACGAGCCCGACAACAGCGGGCAGGCCGCCATGTCCTCCTCGGCGGCCGTGTCTGCCTACCAGAAATACATCACCCCGTTTAAGGGGAAGGCCAAACTGGTCACGCCCGCCGTCACCAACGGCGTCGGCGCCGACACGGGCCTCGCGTGGGCCGAGAACTTCCTGTCCGGCTGCGGCGGCAGCTGTGGCGTGAGCGTGCTCGCCGTGCACTGGTACGGCGACTCGGCCGCCGACTTCAAGACCTTTGTGGGCAAGGCCGTGGCGCTCGCCGACAAGTACGATCTCGACGAGACCTGGGTCACCGAGTTCGCCCTCAACAGCGCCGTTGGTGCCGGCCAGGGCACCCAGGAGGCCGCCTCCTTCCTCGAGGAGGTTGTCCCCTGGCTCGATGGCCAGAGTGGCGTCGGCCGCTATGCGTATTTCATGTGCGCCGAGGGCTATCTGTTGAACGGGGACGGCTTGAGTGCCTCCGGCCAGGCGTATATCGCTTAGGCATCGCCTCGCCTCGCCTCGCCTCGCCTCGCCTCTTGACTTTTGACTCGATGACTTCTGATTTGGCGGAGAGTGATGTGGGGAGCGGTTTTGGCTTTGCCATTGCCATTGCCATTGCCTTTGCCTTTGCCTTTGCGTTTACCATTACCATTACCATTACCATTTTGCCTCAGGAAAATACCTCCCTCGAGCGGTGATTTGTTTATCATGATGATTATCGGTTTTACAGTGTTACACTTTTGATACCAGTTTGATTTTTTTTTATTTGGTGTTGTACTCACAGAGTCACAATTTGTTTCACCCTGATTCCCATTGTCCATACAGTTCCATGAATCTGAAACAACAAAAAGTCCATACAAAGACCATTGTATTGTTCCTACATAGTACAATCCTCCTACAATTCCAACAATTCCAACATTCCAACAAAATAATCCAAACCTGAAACACATTGTAAAAAGCAGACCAGACCAGACCAGACCAGACCAACCTCCTGCCCACTGCCCAGAAAACAAGTTCCCTCAATTGTTATTATTGTTTGTCTTTCCCCCCGATCCATGGATCCATGGATCCAATAAGCGCCCCCCCGCCAACCAACCACATGTATTGCAACCCAAGAGCCCCGACTTTCATCTCGCCCGAACCAAGGATGCAACTGCTGTCTGGACTTTGGGCTGTGGGGATCAGTCGCCAGGAATTGATTGGGTGGTCCCACGATTTCCAACATTGGGGATTGGATTCTTATTAGGAGATGGATGTCAATCAATCACTTTTTTTTTCATTGCATTGCAGAGAGCAGACACAACGTGAAGTGCAATCTTGTTGCTAGACTGGTTGGAGGTCATAACTATGGGTCCTGGGTTCCCTAGGGTTTCTTGACCGTATACCCGAAAATGGATAATGAACCCTCCGTCACTAGACTGCTTTCAATGCGACTCAGACTGAGTTACGGAGTACGGCACTTCCAACAGCACCGCACATCGCCCACACCAACCAGTAGTTACAGTATATATCCAGAAAAATGCTATTTGTATTATTTCCCATCAGCAACCCAACACCCACCAACTAGCTCAAACTTTTCCCCCATGCATCAGCAAACCCCACACATCTCCAGGAAAAAGTTCCATGCACATAGGACGGAACAGCAGCTTGACAGCTTAATCCATCACCATCACCATCGCTGACACATCCCACGAATGAAAACACCACAAGTCACATAAGTCACACTGTATCCGCGCGCCGTCACTTCCCTAAATACATCATATCATCCCCTTGATACAATCTTACATCGTTTCCCATCCCCCATTGTTGATATCCGCTTCCAGCTTGCGGCTGATCATCGTTGGAATCCCATGCGAGAGCCACACGTCGCGAACCAAGCGGTCGTAGCGTTTCTGGTTCAGAATCAACTGACGGTTACGCCGGAGGCCCGGGTCCACTTCGCCGTGCCGATCCAGGTACGGCGCATTGTGCCAGGAACCGCTGCGGTTGTGTAGGTAGACCACCATGCACTTGCGGATGTTGAGGAAGAGACCGATGTATTTACCACATCTGATAGACATCCAGTCAGTTTGTATAACCAAAGAGGAGGAAGCAAGGAGGAACTCACTTGTAAACGTGTTGGTTGCATCCGCCCAAGTTCTGGCTCTTGTCCATGCAACACACGGCCTGCGAGCAGAAGATGTCACCACAGAACAGGCAGATGCAGGGATCGGTCAGCTCCTTCTTCGAGTTCGGGCAGCGCCGTCGGTTGGCCTCGTCGATCAAATTGTCGTAGTACTTGGGCAGCCCAACCAACTCGAAGATCCCCGGGTGGGGGAGGCTCGGCCACAACGTGTGGTAGCCGAACGTCAGCCCGGGCCGCGACACATTCCAGTGGTGGATCCAGCCCGAGATGACCGAGTCGAACACACTGCCGCGGTTGCGCGAAGCGTTGACAGATCCGAAGATCTCGTCGAGAGACGGCAGATTTAAGAGCTTGGTCAAGCGGTCAAGCTCTGGAGCGTCAACATCGTTGAATTCCGTGCTGGGGAACTCGACCCCGTGCTGAACGTGAAGAAGAATGATCACCTTGCGAAGGAAGGTCAATGCGTAGCTGGAAATGAGCCGGCGCAGGGTTAACGCCACCTGCCGCGACACGGCGCTTCCGTCCGCCACGTAGTTACCCTCGGTTGGGAACGACGTGATCTCCTCCTGACCGATATTGGTTCTCAGCTCGGTGACGATGGAGTTGAAGAAGTGGCGACTCAAGTCGGCCCGAGGGTCCGTCTCATCAAGCGCCGGCATGTAGTTGGCATCGCCATGCTGAACCACTTCTTCCTGCAGCCCCGAAGGCCAGAGGATGTAGGTGATGGCGACCTTGACGATTTCGGCCACATAACACATCTGGATCAAATGACGCATATCAATGGGAACAGTCGGCAGAAGCGAAACCGAGCACTCGGCCAAAAACACAAACGTATCCTTGCCCAGGAGCGGTTCAATCTCGCGCCTCTCCCTCAATAGAGGTGTACCACTGAGGTAGGGGTGACCAATGAACAGTTGACAGATCTTCTGCCGGTGCGTTTCGTGCACCTCGTCCGCACTGAGATTATGCGGGCTATCGCCATGCTGTAGTGATCCGACCGCCGCGTACGAGAAGGCCGTCTCGGCGAGGATGCGCAGATGCGTCAGTGTCAGCTGAGGGATCTTGTCCAGCAGGGTCGAGCCCGGTTCCGAAGCGACACCCCGCTGCGCTATCTCCACAGCCGTGATGCTGTAGCCAAAGCTCTGGAACAGCGAGTCGGTATGCACCAGGTCACTGCTTTCCAGTGTACCAGGAACATGGTTGAACGTGGATGGGATGTGGTTGACCCGCAAAGTCTGCTTCAGCCTCTGATAGATCTGCAACAATTCGGAAAGCGGGTTCTCGATCGGACTGAAGGTCGCCTGAAGCGGGCTGGTGGCAGAAGGATCCTCCGCAGGGAAGAGACCAGGCATGGGTAATCTGACCGTTGGCATGGAAAGAGGAGTCGACGGGAATGAGGGAGGGGATGGGAGATTGCCCAACTTCGAGGCGAGCGGTGGGACCAACGTCTTGGACAGATAGTTCACGAAGAGTTCCTGGTACGCTAGAGCCTGCGGGTTGCTGTTGCTCTCCGCAAGTAATGCGTAGTTGCGGGGTTGCGAGAGAATGGACTTGAGCTCAACATTAATGAACTCGTCAAACGAGACAGCGGTACCCAAAGCTCCCGGATACGACTCTTCCTTACCCTTCCAGACGATGGGAAGGAAAGCATTTCCGAGAGCCTTGCAGAGAGGGCAGACGAACTCCTTGCGCGCTAGCGACTCCGGGTGGGCTCGAGCGACTTGTTGATGGTGACGACGACCAGTAGCAGTGAGGTAGACCTCGAAGCAGTGGTAATGCATGATATGGCCACAGCCGGTCGTCACCGGCCCTGGATTCGTGTTATGGGCCTTGAAGCCTTTGCTTAGTCCAATCTTCTCGCTGACGACTTCGCCACCCGTCGAGTCCAGTCGGCGGACGGTCGTGCGGTTTTCACCAGCGACTCCGAAAGGACGAAGATGGTCGGCCGACTTGTCCAGGCTCGCTGGTGTCCTGATTGCCTCCCGCACCCAGTCCGCATCCGACACATCAGTACAACGGAGGATGGTGCTATCCTGAATGAGGGCAAATGTGCCGTAGAGTCGCGAGTCATTGGTCTCCTCCTGACAGAGGATGCACGTGCCACTAGGATACTTCCACAGCTTCGTCTCGGGCGCAGTCTCGGGTTCCGATTCGAGATCACTGAAGTCTTCTTCGCCCCAGTCAAATTCACCTTGGCTGTTGAGGAAGTTCTGCTGTTGCTGCTGGAACTGGGCCATGACCCGGGCCTGCCTTTCTAGAGCCTGCTTCTTCTTGGTCTCCTTCTCAACGTCATTGTCGATAGCAGGAGTGCTTGTGTCAACCCTGTCAAAGGGGAAGTTCAGCGAAGCGGTGGCTGAGGCATAGGCCTCGGGACGCTTCTGCCAGAATTGCTTGAGTATATGCCGGATCTTGGCTCCGCATGATTTGAAATCGGATATCACGGAAATCTTCTCAAGGAGACCCACGATAGTCACTGGACCAGCCTGCGTCGAGTGTCGAACCTTGTTCAATGCGTGAGAAATGAAGGATGCCGGCGAGCCGTCGGACATCTCATCCTCGTCGCTCTTATCATCCAGCGAGGCGGCAAGAATCAGATGCAGGACCACATGAAGGAAAGTCTCAATCCGAGTAGGTTTGATATGCGGAGTACCCGCCTGGAACGACACCACATAATCCAGACAGTGGTGCACAAGCTGAGCGAAGACCATGGTTCGGGTGAAGCGATGAAGCTCGGAGAAAGCTCCGGTGGTGATGGGGCGTAATTTGGGCTCAAACACCACGTCATCCGCTTTCTTGCCAGTCTTCTTGGCCACCCAGGCTCTGTAAATGGTCTCCGCTTCATCCCGTTGATTCTTGCTGTAATGAGCGCTGTACGGATCAATAAGGTCAAGATACTCCGGCTTCAGCTCGAAGGTACCAGTGTCGTTTAACCCCTCGGGTGCCCGAAATTTGGCAACCTCCTCAAGCACATCCTGGAACATATCCGAGTCAAGGGGCTTGTCGCTGAGCCGCGTGGACAGGTCAGAGAAAGACAGCGGCCTGAAGCAAAGGACATGCGCGATATCACGGATGATGCTCTCCCGAGTTGCGCTCTCGCTGTCGTCGATGGCGGTGAGCGAGGTACGGTCCGTCAGAAGGATAATCAACAAGTGGACGAACTCCTCGGCCACGTCGACGATCTGGTTGTCCTCGTAGACGCTCCGGGGGCTGTAATCCCGGTTCATCCAGTCCACCATGCCGAAACGTTCCGCGATGGACGCAAGGACCCGACTAGGATCGCAGGTGACCAGGGCAGTCTGAAGCAAGAAGATGTCGCGATAATACGCAAAATCACGGGATGAGACTCCCCGGTACTGTGACATCTGATGCCGAAGGCTGAGACCGTTGCGAACCCACATGCCAGCCTTCATCTGTGCCAGCCAGGCGCAAACTCTGACGGGATAATCGAACATTGCCAGGAGCAAATCTTCGGAGTTCAGCTGTGAGTCGTGGATGTATTGGTCATTTGCGGCCTGCGCAGCGTCCATGAGCACATTGCGCATGACGGCGCCGCTTACATTACGACCGCATTCCAGCAACCAGGACAGCGTGTAATGGAGGGCATGGTGGAAACTCATCCAGCCACGTTCGACGACGAAGTCCACCACCCGGTATCGTGGAACAAGTTCCTGGTTGACCTCGAAATCGAAGGGAGGCAGCGTTTTGAAAGACACGTAATCCTTGATTTCGGCTTGGCTGAAACGCTTAAGGTCCAATCCGTATGAGTGAGCCACAGCGGAGATAGTGGCTGATCGGATGGCTCGCAGCAGCCTTGCACCTCCATCGATCTCGGGGTTACGGAAGGCCTCGCAAAATTGGCGACACAGGCGGTTGATCTCTCGCATGAGGACGGACGCGCTGATCCAAGCGTCGGTCTCGTACTCAACATGCTCCCCTACAGCACGCACATTGGGGCATATACCTTGCGAGAGCTTGACAAGATCCAGGAACTGAGACAGGTACTGTTCTTCCGCGCGCACGCGATTCTGGACGTATTCGGATTGCAGCAGGTACCGTAGATCCAAGAAAAAATGATACAGACGCCTGTTGGTGACAGACCCGGCGTCAAATGCCAGAGTTGCGTTGGGATTGACTTCATGAGGTTCACCGACCTGCCTTGTCGTAAGAAACGTGTACAGAATGGCCATGACCTTGGTCAAAAAGTTCCCACGTAGGAGGATTTCCTCTGTAATAGACGGGGTGGTCAGAAGCTGCAAGGAAAGGTTGACAATGGAGTGATCAGGCTCTCTGTCTGCGATCAGGTACAACTGCGCGAGCGCCGTGTAGAGGGCTGACAGGCGCAGACCCATGATCCGCTTGAATTGAGGAACATTGACAACGGTGCCGATATAGAGATCGCGGAGTTCGGTACGAGTCTTTTTCCAGAGTCGGAGATCATATAGAATCATCCAGTCGAGACGAGTGCGCTGCGACAGGTCCTCGTAAACCGGCACACCCTGCCCTTCTCCCGCAGCATGAGATCGATACTGCCAATGAATAGGCGTTTTCGCCGGCGATGGTCGAACCACCCCTGACGGTGTCTTGGGGATAGGAACAAGGGAAGTCGGCGGTCGCTCGTGCGGTTCATTGAGGGCCTGCTCGTTGACGGCGGGTTGCGAATCCTCCTGGTTTGACCCGTTCTGCACCCCTTCTTGCGCCACTTGCCTTTGCAGCTCCTGTGACTGCTGCTCTCCCTGTTCACCTTGCTGTTGCTGCTGCTGGCGGGCGCGCTCTTGTTCCCGCTGTTGTTCCCGCTGAGCGAGTCCTAAGATGGTCTGAGCGATATCCAGAGCGTCATCTGCGTCGCCCATAACCATATCATTATCGTCGTCCACCTCATCCCGGAGCCGGTTCATTTCGAGTTCCATGTCATCATCATCTTCCTCTTCGTTGGTCTCGCCCGCTGCACGCAGGTACTCTTCGAATTCTTCCGCCTCCTCCTCGTCATTGACACCTTCCTGCTCATTGCCCGAATTGACATCCTCATCATCGTCATCGTCGTCGCCAGCTGCGGCCAGTACAACGTTAACTTGAGGGGATATCGTGAGCATGACCGTGCGCCATGGAGACGCCTCGTCCTGTTGGTGGTCATCGATGCCTTTCAACCCGATGTCCGCATTGTAGGCACCGCTACCACGCCTCCACGGCGTAAGCAGTTCTTCGCAGATGATGTGGCGCAGGATCTCGTTATCATCACCGACGCTACATCCCGAGATATCCAGCAGCCACTCGACGATGGTGGCGCACATCTGCTCGCGGAACGTATCGCGGGCGGATCGGATAGTGACGGTGACCCTGATGTGCTCGATGATCTTCGACACGTCCAGCAGTCGCGGCAGGTCCCGGGAATACTTGACGACACTGCGTCCGATGTCGTTGGTCTCGTGGGCACGCTCGAATCCGAAGCGATTCGTCTCCCGACAAGCTCGCGTGACCTGCGTGGCGACGTCCTTGATGGTGTGCTTCTCATCGTTCCAAAGGGCGAGGGCGTACTCGGGCTCCTCCTCCGCTTCGTCACCGGGCCCGTACCAGCCCGGACGCAGCCGGGACGCTTCCTCGTCCTTCCTGATCCCTTCCTCAGTCTTGGGCAGTCGCAGCTGTTCGGGCGAGCAGGAGATGACGTCGCAGAAATAATCCAGGGCGCGCGAGATGGTGAGTCGGATGGCCTTCACCCAATCCGGCGGCAGTTGTGATTGGGCCCTCTGCTTCCCCTTCTTCTTCTTGTCCTCGCTGTCGGTGTGGATCGCACAGAACAAGGGCAGGCGCCAGGCCTCCTCGTCTCCACAGTCACAGCAGCCGCAGTTCCCCGACGATAGCGAGATCTGGTACTGGTGGCCGGTGTGATCGGAGGCGTCGAAGCACCGGCTGCACAGCACACAGGTGTCGTCCATGGCGCAGGTGATGCAGCGGTAGGTGGCCTCGCCCGCCCTGAAGATATGGCCGCAGCGCTTGCCCCGCGCCGCCTCGGTATACTCCGCACCTTCCTCGGCGCCCTGGGCCTCTGCCAGCTTCCAGGGCCCGGGCGGCAACCCGTTGGGAAATAACTGTCGAAGGTATTCGTCATTCTGGCCGGTCAGCGAGCGGAAGAGCACCTCGAGAAGTTCTCTCTCGGCTTGGGGTCCATAGCGGTTGTTGTGTTCGGCGGGAAGCCGCAGGAGGCGTTCGCTGAGAAACCTCTCACATTCCGTGAGCATCATTTATCGCTGTTGCACGACGAGCGCGACACCCATCCGGCTCTCTAGATAGGGAAGTAAAAAGGGTTACGGAACGTTACTTGGGGGTTCGAAAGTTGTTGAGACGAGAGCTCGAAGGTGGACTGTATTTTTCCCCCTCGTTTTCGTTGGTGGCGGGCTTATAAATCTTGGATGCGGCCTGCGAGCTCAACTTAGTCGGGCGCCGATAACAGGTCCGTCAATGATGAAAATGACTGGATAAGAAAAGAAAAACGGGGAAAAGGAACAGAAGAATGATAACTGACCAACCTTTGGAAAATGGAGGGGAGGTGGGGAAGTTTAAGGATTTCAGACAGAGTCGCTTGGTTATGGTTGAGAGAGTAAGCGGTTAATGAGGGAATGAGTTGGCAATAGTAGGAATACTCGTGGTGGTGAAGTAGCAAGTTCGATGTCACAGTTTGGTGGGGAAGAAAGAGCTGTTGGCTCCGCTTGGATCAATCCAGAAACAACAGAATTTAATTCAACACCTGCTAGAATATGATGTTCCGGTCCAGATTCGGAACAGGCAAAGAATACAACCTGACCAAAGAACAAAAGAAAAATGAAAGAGGCTATTTTCGTTAGAATGTGTTGTGTTGGGAAAAGAAGGAGGGGAAAAGCATGAGATCTCTAACTACTATTGAATCTACAGAACCAATGCGGCTTGGCGCGACTTGACCGCAGTCTGTCTCCCTTTCAATGTCAATCTGATACCGCGCAGCGTCGGATTAAGGGAAATGCACGCAATGGTACAGCTCATTCTTCCAGATCAAAAAAATAAAGGACTAGCTCGTACAAGAAACACCGTGGAGGATCCCGATTCCCCTCTTTCCTCCGATCTCGGTAAAATAACATGGGAATGGATATCTCTACCCTCCAGCACTTGGTCTATCCCACCACCACCAGGTGAATGCGGCACAAAACACTCGATAGGATCGTCATATTTACTCGTCATCCTCGTCGTCGGCCTGGTTGATGTAGCGGTGCTTGATATCCTTCCATTGACGCTGTGGGCGCGAATCGGAGAGTAACCCCGTCAGTTAAGAACCTCATATCCGGAAGGGGTCTGCAGGGAAGAACATACACCGCGGTTGAAAGAGTCCCAGACGCGGTTGGAAGCGGTGTCGAAAGCCCTGTTCCGAAGAAGTCGTGATTAGCCCGTGCTTGATGGCCTGCGACGGTTGTTTCCCACCGGAGTGGGAGGACGGGAGAGAGAGAGGCTAGACGTACAGCTCGAAAGCGAAGGCACTGGTAAAGATGGCAGTCAAGTAAACAGCGTTGCGCTGGAACAGACTCCTATGGCAATCAATTGTGGTTAGTAGGGGTCAATTGAGGGCCCGACAGGGAGGAAGACATACCGGTAGAGAGTGGTAGTGAACTGGATCCGGAGACACCCTGCAGTTAGCCCAGGGAACCACGGGCACCAGGAGCACCTGCAGCGGTCCTGGCGATCAAGTTGCGGAAGACACTTACAGCGCCGGCCATTGTGCTGGATTGTAGATGGAAACGGAGGTGGAAGTGGGAGAGGAGCGAAAACGTGGGGAAGTAGCGTAACCAGGAGGGAATGAGGTTGAAGAATCGCCGTTCGGACAAGTTCAGACGAAAAGCAGCAGCGGGAAACACCGGATCCCTGATTGGCCAGTGCCCAGAGCCTCTCCCGCCCGCCCGTCACGCATGAATTCATCCATGTCCGTTCATCAGGCTCATTCCACTTCCACATCTTTTTCATCTACACATCTAACTTACACTAATTGACAACAGACAACAATTCGGGCATCGTCTCAATATCCCGCCCTCCGCCCTCAAATTATCGAAGGACTAGGGATAACACTCATTTATATCTAGCAATCCTTCAGACAGACCGACCCCTCTCTCTTTCCACCCACCACCTTCATTGGACTGAGGGTCTGAGGGTCTGAGAATCTTCGTTACGCCGCTCCCACCCTCAGCCATCCACCATCTACCCCCCCCCAAAAATGGCAACCAACAAGACCGGGGGCGTCACCTCATCCGGTATCGCCACCAACGAAACCACCGGAGAGCGCTACATCCCCTCCTCCACCCGCGCGGATGGGTCCAAGCGTCGCGAGATCCGCGTCCGACCGGGCTACCGTCCCCCCGAGGATGTCGAACTCTACAAGAACCGCGCGGCCGAAGCCTGGAAGAACCGCGGCAAGACCGGCGGTGGTGTGCCGGGCGCCGAAGGCCTTAAGCCCGTCGGGGACTCTGACGCCAACAAATCGGGCACCGCAGCCAGCAACAAGAACGCCAAACGCCGCGAGGCGCGGAAGAAGGCCAAGGCGACCGGTCAGGACTCACCGGGCGCAGCCAAGGACGTGACGCAGATTGAAAACTGGCGCGCTGCTGCTGCGACTGCGACTACACCCAACGGCGGCGCGAAGAAGGAAGCGGAAGGCAAGCAGCCCACCGAGGCAGAGCAGGCACTGGACCCCGAAGCAGAGAATGAGAAGAAGGCCCGCAACCTGAAGAAGAAATTGAGGCAGGCCCGCGATCTGCGCGACAAGAAGAACCAAGGCGAGGCTCTGCTGCCCGAACAGCTTGAGAAGGTCATCAAGATCCAGGAACTCGTTCGGCAGCTCGATGCGCTGGGGTTTGATGCCAATGGGGATAAGAAAGACGCTTCTGCAGAAGAGAAGGGCGCGGAAAGTGAGAAGGTCTGAAGGGCCGCGCCATGGCGATTGATGATTACCAGACTCATAAGACCTCGAATCGTTGAGCTACTTGTCACCAAGTACCACGATCACGGTCCTTACCTCCGAATGAGGGACCCATAAGAGTTGTCTATGGCCGCCTTCCACAGAATGCCGATGTGGCGTCATCCTGCAGCTTAACCAAACTCAAGCTGGGCCGATGTCCACTCTCCCGACTCCTCGCTTGGGAGTGTGAGGATGATACCATCACGGAATTTCCTCAGGGCTCGTCGGCTTGCATGAACAATCTCCCACGGCTTTTTTGAGACAGACATCGCTCTCACGGCTGATCACCCCCAATGTCGGTCTGCGGGGGAAGCTGCACAATGTATTATTACAAAGCATATCTAGTCCCTACCGTCCCTGTTCACATCTTATTTCCAAATTGAACTTGCTGGTCTGTTTCCCGGAAGTCTATATACCTCCACATGACCTATGTGGATATCTGTCACTATCAAATCAGCCTTGTTCCTCAGTAAACGGTCACGCTCCGACATAGTAGCATGCAACAGCGAAGAATGGAGAGCATTTCTAAAGTCATCGGCGCTCCGACTTCCCGATGTCGGCGAATCGCACGGGTGAAGTCACGATGCCGCCTTCCAACTCCCAGTTTTCGTAGTTGTAGCCTTTCCAGGGGCTCAACGTCTGGCCGACCGTGAGTTTCCGACCCACCCCATAGGAAGCGGCCAGATAGCCTTGTCGCACACAGTCAAGGACACCATTTCCGCTGGTCCCGTACCACGAGCCAGCCAGCGTCAGCCTGTGGTGGAACTCCTTCCGGACCGCTTGGGAGAGGGCATGCATGCGATCAAGATGGTTGACAGTATACTGCGGGATGGCATCTACGTGGAGGTGGCTCCTCGCCTCGAGCGGCTCGGCGGTGATCTTGAGGTGCCTCTGAAGTACAGAACGAGCATGACTGCAGGCCTGATCATGGTTGGGTAGACTCGACTTGGGCAGGCCGTCCCACCAGTGGCCACCGAGCATTACGGTCAATTTGGTGTTACCGGCAGTATCTTGGCCAACAGAAGTTTCGTTTCCGAAGATGACCCCCAGGGCCAGCTCGGGATTCTGTTCATACGAGACACTCCGTGGAATGAGGTAGCCAAAGCCCCTAGGTATGTCTAGGTTGTCTTCGGCCTTGTAACATAGGTTGACCACCATGACCGTTACGGCATAGTTGTTTTCGTCGGCCCGAAAATGCTTTACGGATTCAGTCGGATAGAACCGGCTCTTGGCCATCCACTGAGGAATCATTTTCGCCATAGAAAGCGGTTTGATGGTAGAGATCACTCGGTCGTATGATTGAGGACCGTCTGTTCCTCGATCGATCTAAAACCGCATCAGCTTTTTCGGCCAAATGCCACACACACACATAGCACTGGGCCAGCTCCTTACCATAATTTTGTCCGTGGAAGAATCGTGCATCATATAGCGTATATTAGCCGAAGTAATGACCTCGGCCTTCTCAGACTCCTGCAACCGTTTGGCGATAGCGCGGGGGAATTGTTCCAGGCCCTCCTTCAGGGTGAACACACTGGCACCGCTGAGCAGCGACTTGAGGGATGTCCAGTAATCAGGGCCCTTTTCAGCTCCCAAAGACTGCAAGGCCATGAGATCGTCCATCTTCCAATAACTCCGTCCAGCCAGCCCGTCCAGGAGCAGTTCTTTCAAGATGCTTCCATTCTCCTCCCGCATTCGGAGGGCGCCCATCAATGTGCGCGCACTTAGACGGTCGATATCACCGGCAAAAATGCCAGCCATGACCGCAGAGACCAAGTTATCCGCGACCTTCCCGCCGAAACGACGCGAGATGAAGTCCGCGATCGACTCGTCACGTTGATCGGACATGGGCGCCGGATCCCAGTACTCGTGAAAAACATCCTTGGCGACACCATCAAATAAGGGCTCCTTGGTCACCGTGTTCCATAGTTCCGAGAGATTTTTGAGCAAGCTCTGGTCGGGGCGCGGTTGAGGAATGCGCACCAAATGATCGGGATAGTAGATATAACGGTTGGTAGCGGCTGGGGAGGACTTCGCTGTCACGACTACATCACCAAGCAAGTCTAGCTCAGACATCTGCCTCGTGCATTAGATGGGTGTGGACTTGGTATGGAAGCGAATGCGGCTGTCAGCATACCATGTCAAGGAGAGGAAAACATGTCGGGAATCCTGCTCGTAAGGTCCGCGGGCCGCGTTCGAGAATGAGGTCCCCTACCCCCGAATCCGCGGAGTCGAGAGTCACCTTATCTGATTGCATCCACCCGCCGAGGCGGGGCTGCGACTCGTAGAGAGTGACATTTTTGCATGCTGGATCTCGCATCAACCGGTAGGCTGCTGTAAGGCCGGTAATGCCTCCGCCAATGACGGCGGCATTATACCGGTTGGTATGCAGGTAACGACTCCCATTGCCACTGCGCACCAGTGGCGCCCGCGCCACTCTGAGTGCGACTTCTGAGGAGCATGCTAGCCGCATCTCGAGTGAGGGCAAGGCTGAAGGGGAGATGTTGTCGGGACTGGGGACGAAACGACAATTGGGGGGTATATGTATATGGAGAGGTTGGAATTGGAGCTGGCAGTATCCCCGCACGGGATGGGCGGTAAATCCCTTCTAATACAAGGCGGTGGGCTAAAGTGTACTGAGTGGACTTGCTGTACTCACGTATTATTGCAGTTGACCCTATTACTGTACTCCAATGTGTACTCCAATGTTGCCAGATCCAAACAACAAGTAGCGCTCTAGGATTGAAGTAAAATCTCTCCGCTCCAATATTGATTACGAATGTGCGAAAGAAGGTATGACCATTTTGATAAAGAAAGGAACCAAGTATCATATCATGTTACTACAAGTTGTGTCATATTGTCCTTTTATGGAAAACGCCGTATGAGAAAGGTCCATGATATCCCCATTCTATTTACAACCCAGTAAGAGATTCTGTCATAATGTCAAAAGCAAACTTAAACGCCCTTCCTCGCTGTCAACCAAGCTTCACACGGACATAGTACATGTCGAACCGAGGACTGTGGAGGGAGCATATGCAGTGCAAGCAATCATCAAAGCACGCAAGCCATATCATGTCACAATCTCCTGGCTCTGCGAGCCGTCCGTAGCGCCCGGCTTAATCAGTTCCTCCTGCCCATCTTCATCCGTCACGAATTTTCTCTCGCTTACGTGGGGTTTGCCGGAGCCGGGGGTCCAAACTTTATCGGAGAAGGCACCCTTTTGACCCTCGACATGCTTATAGGGGCAGCTCGGGTTGAGACAGGGATTGAACTTGCAAGCCGTTTGGAGATGTGTGAATTTGCAACCTTCAGTGGTGCAGTCGGCACCATTGCGGCATAACGGCATGGAAGGGTGCTTGAAGTGGCAGTTGGGGTTGGCACAGTTGGGGAAGAACCTGCACATCTCCTCGGCCTGGTGCGCGGACTTGACAGCTGGAGAAGGATGACGCCCTGTGCACTTGCGATTCTTGCATGCCGCTCCATACGGACAAGGGTCCGCGATATCGACCGGGCTGCCTTCAGGTGCTGCTGGGGACTGGTGGGCGAAAGGACAGTCCCTTCGCGTGCATCGAAGGTTGAATCGGCAAACAGTATCGGTATTGCTCTCGTCCTGCTCCCCTTGAGGCTTCATATCCATGTCGGTATCGTTATCATGTTCGTTTGTGCGATTGTTGCGCTGGTTGCGTTGATGCCGCTGGCCGTGTTGGCGTTCAACGCGATCGAATAATGAACGGCCCTGCTGGGACCCATTTTGCTGAAAGGCCGGGTTGATTGCGGGGGATACGAAACCAGGCATGAGTTGTGCCATCATCCGTGCCTGCTCTTCTAGAAGAGACATCAACTGCATTTGATCATTCTGACTCATGTTCATCATCGGTCCCATGTTCATCTGGCGGCCGCCCTGCATCCTTCCTCCACCATTCTGATTGAACCGACCCTTTCCGTTGTTCTGACCGTGAGAGTTAATCCGTCCGCCACCGGGTCCACGAACGCGATGAAGAGTCGAGTCGCCACGATCGCCGCGATCCATAGCCCTGTTTATTTGGTTGAGCATCCGCCCTCTTCCACCGGGGCGCCCATTGCGCATTGCCTTCGGGCCCGTTGGTCTTCAAGATTCCAGTTAGCCAGATTCTTGTGGCGGTACAGAGATAACAAGGCACTTACATAGAGTCGCCTGCCAAGGTTCCGTCGTCAACCATAGCCATGTCTCCATCTTCTTGGACGTTGTTCTCAAGCCCGATCGGCTGAGGGACAGCGGCCTCCTGCTCTGCGAATGAAGGGATTGCTTGCGCGGAAGTCGGGTCGCTCAAGGCCGGGGCGCCGCCACCGTTGATCTGTTGGTTGAGGATCTCAACCTGTTCGAACAACCACCTTGAGAACTCGAGAGCCTGGGTATCACCTTCACCAAGGCCAAGGAGATCGTTGGACAGTTCGCCGGCGATCTGCTCCTGGGTCTTGCCGTTGACCAACATCAGAATCACATATTCAATCAAGGCCGAATCGTCGCCATCGGAACTCCATCCCATCTCGACCAATTTCGGAGGGATGACATTGCTCAAGGCTTCCGCGAGCGGAGTGCCTGCTGCAACCATCGTCGTCATGATGAAGTGCGCAGTGAATGCGAGTCAGGTGTGGTGTGGCAAGGAGGGAGGGAGGGAGGAAGAAAAGAGAGGCTTGATAAGTGCTAAATGCCGCACTGCTGGGTTGACAGAGCGCGCGTACCCACGCTAACTGTGTAGAAGTAAACTAGCTAAGTATTTGTGTCTTTGGTGGGATTTCGAGGGATTCGAGGGATTCGAGGGATTCTAGGTATGAAAGAGATAAGAATAGAGACAAAAAGTAGGTAGTGATAGTTTAAGATGGTGCTTGACCGCAGGGACTTTCATTGCGGGCTGATGATGAAAGACAACCACCACCGCCGAGAACACTTGCCCCAGCCGCAG